TTCTGCCCTCCAACTTTAAAAGACACAATAATACTTCCTTTTTGAATTTTCTTTCCTCTTTTTTGTGACGGGAACACGCAAGGGAAGTTCCTTTCCTTCCTTGCCCCCACCCCCACCTTGCCCTCCTGGGACGTTTCGAGTTTGTTTTGCGGTGTCATAGTTACAGATGTTGAGCTGTTAGTCTGTTGAAAACAGATAACCACCCTAGTTTATTCCTGATGAGAAGTGCCAAGTGTAGTGGGTTCTTGCATTTCCCAATAATTAGTAGGTGCTGTGGGAAGTTAAAAAATAAAGTAGAAAATTTGAGAAATAAATTATTTTCTTATCCCCAATAGAAAATCAAACTCTTTGCCTTAAGGGAAACTTACAAGAATGGATTTGATAAATTATGGAAGAGGATAATGCACATGAAGGGGAAAAATGAGTTGAGCAAGGGCAGTTAAGATATCTAGTTTTATTAATCTTAAGCTGACTTGGAACCAATATTTGCAGTGTCTGAAAATGAGTAGCTCTGTGCTCCAGTTACATTTCAGATCTCCAGTCCTGTTCTTTATCTGCCCTCTCGTGGTCACAGAAAATTCAACAGAAGAGCTCTCTAGAAAAAAAGCAAAGAGATGCAATAAGAAATGGTAGGTAGCCTTTCTATATGTCTAGAGACCTCTGTGTTCTTTACCGCTTATCTTCATGAAAATCCTGTAAGATAAATTGTAATATTCTCATTTAAACATCAAAATACTATTCCCAAAATATGGAACTAATATATGTATCGACCCACTTCACAGGAGAGGTGTATTTCCACTGGGAAGTGTCCATACCCACCACTTAATTTACCCCAGGGATCCAAGATGTTTTGTAGTTCTTTATTTTCTGTATTTATACTATAAAAGCAATTGGTTTTTCTTTTCATTTCCCAAACATGAAATTATATTACATAATTTAAGGACCTGCCATGTAGATGTCCTCCAGTATCCTGTAGTGGCCTGTTCTCTGGTGTTTCCGAGCTCCCTCAGCCATTGCTCACATCACTCCAGGTTACCTCCAGGGCTCTGGACCCCACTGTCTTTGTAAGTGAGCATAAGTGAGGCCATCTTGTTACGCTAAATGGCCCCAACCCCTCCTCTGTGTGACTCCTTGCTGCTCTGCACGTACTCTAAAAAATTCACATGCTCTCCTTATTTATGCCCTCTGCTTACACATGTACTCCCCTATATCTTGATAAATTAAAGCTTTGTTCTATGAGTTTCTCTCTAGGAACAGGCTTATCACAGGTGGAAAGCATACTTACAAGATATTCATCATCACTTACAGAAGAAAAGAACCATGAGGGACCCTGGAGTCCATCATGCCTGAAGGCCGACATTTCTAAACCCCCTCCTTACTGCCCATCTTTCCTATATAACTGCCTCAAGATTCTGTCATCCTTGAAGATGGGTTTTTTGAGACATTAGTCTGCCATCTTCCTGATTATGCTGGCTAATCGAATTAAAATTTCTTTTCTCCATCCCTAACTGGTTGTGAGTAATTGGCTCATGGCAAGCAGAGTGAGCTCATTGCTTGGTATCATCTCCACCCCTGTGTTTTCAGTCCCCTTCTAATACCCATGCTTCACCCCATCCTGAACATTATCCCTAGGTCTTCACAACACCCCTAGACACACCGACACAGGTTGAGTTTAGCAAACATTCACAAAAGGTTAATGGTGGAAAGAGTACAGCACAACGTAGGCACCATCTTAAAATAGAAAATATTGGCCATGGCTTCCCCATAAATAATCCACCATTCTCTTCGTGGGCAGTTTCTCACTGACCAGATCTTCCCTTGGCTATAGCTTCTCCCATCTGCTGGGCTCTTCCTCTTCCCTCAACTGGCCCTTCTCCCCTCTCCAGCTGCCAGCCTCCAGCCCCCCACCCCATTTCTATTAATGTCTTTTGATGAGCCTTTGTGTCCTCCTCCTCTGAACCCCAAACTGGGCTCTACCCTTGGCTGTATACATTCAGATGCTCTCAAAGGTGCTGTGGTCCCCACCCCCAGCAGTACAAATAACCAGCAGAAGCTTTGAAATTGCTATGTGGCATCAAATTCTTAGGCAAGGCTTCCGCTCAACCTCTGACCAGAGCAAACTGAGAGTCTTCTCCATGTTATAGTATTGTCTTGCTTTATCATACTACACACACGCTAGAGGTTCTGGAATGTGCCCCTCACTGTCTCCCCTTGCCTCACCCACATTGAGAATCACTGCTCTAGGCTAATAGTTTACCTGAGAAAGCAGCATGATGGAGCAGAACAAATGTGAGTTAGAATTCCCAGGTTGGAATCCTGCCTTCCTAGGATTAGCTCTGCAAGTGGGGGCAAGTTTCTGTAGAGGACTTGAGTTGTCTGTCTCCCAGCATCCATATCCCATTTCCCAATTTCCGATTCCCCCATCCACCACCCCAGTTCCGGTAGGAATCCATGTGTTTCCAGGAAGCTAATGAGTGTATTTCTTTTCCTTGGCCAAAGGGGTTGTGTGATGGCTAATGTTGGCTAGGCCACAGTGCCCAACTGTTTGGTCAAACACCAGTCTAGATGTTGCCCTGAAGGTATTTTTTAGATGTGATTAATATATGAATTAGTAGACTTTGGGTAAAACAGATTGTCCTCCATAATGTGGTTGGGCTTCATTCAACCAGCTGAAGGCCTAAGAGAAAAGACTGGGATTTCTCGAAGAAGAAAGAATTCTGCCTCAAGACTGCAACATAGGCTGCCTGAGTTTCCAGCATGCTGCCCTGGAGAAGGCAGACTGAAGGCTGCAACGTCAACTCTTACCTGAATTTCTAGGCTGCTGGCCTACCCTATATATTTCCGCGTCCACAATTGACTGTGTGAGATAATTCCTTAAACTAATTCTCTCTCTCATGTGTGTGTATATATATAATATTTTATTGTGTAAATATATATACATAAGTAAATATATATATACTAAGAGATTAACTTTATAAGTGTATATATATATATATACACACACACACATATATATATATATATCTATATATCTCCTATTGGTTCTGTTTCTCTGGAGAACCCTGACTAATACAGGTAGGTATGTCACCAAAAGCTGCTCCAATTAGAGTAAATCTTAGGCCTTTTTCTGGGAATGTGGGATTTGGCTACTCTCTCTAAATGGTGGAATTCAGATGTGAGCCTTGGAACAGCTGCCAGCTGCAAGCCCTGGGCCAGGATCCTAAAATCTAATGCAGGCACTGCCACTTACTATGGGGACTGCTCCTTAGTTGTCTCATATGTAAAATGGGATTGTAGTGCCTACCACATAGGGTTATTGAGAGGATTAAATGGTTTAACAGAAACTAAACACTTAGAACAATGCTTATGGTAAATAAATGGCAAGCAATAGGATAGATTGGAGTATATGAGGAAGCCATTTGGTGTAAAACTAATTTGGCCTGTCCTTGTTTTTCCAAAAGGTCCTGATGTGGCCGTTGAGTATGCATTATATATCTGCTTTAAGCATTTGCTATGTCTCAAAGACAAGAACAAATGTTCTTAAAATAAAGGTGCAACTTCCCCCACATTAGCATTTCCTTAAGGATAAGCATCTCTCCCTAGGCTAGGAACTCAGTACCTCAAAGGTGATTTATTCCTCTATGGCACTTGCCCAAATGATTCCTGGGTGGGGTGAACAGGCATTTCACTGAAGAGGAATCAGGCAGGACCAATAAATGATGAAAAGATGAGCAACTTAAGGGAAATGCAAATCAAACACACCATAGGATAACATTTCAACTCACTAGTTAGGTAAAAATTTTAAAGTTTTGTAAATCCGAAGTATCGACAAGTATGTGGAGCCAAGGGGACTTCTATATACTGCTGACTGGGGTGTAAATTATACAATCTACAAAACAATGTGTAAAAATTGGCATTATCATGTAAAGCTAAGTGTCTTTATCCTATGACACGATAATATTACTACTGAGTCGATCTGTAGAGAAGCTCTTAGATGTGTGCTCTGCAAGACACGTGCAAGACTGTTTAGCACTGTATTGTTGGTAACAGCAAGAAGACTGAAAACAACTGATGTATCCATACCCAGAAGGATGGATAAAGAGAATGTGGTATATTTACTTAATGCATTCCAAAGACAATGAAAATAATGAGCTACAGATACATGCATCAAGTAGATAAATCTAAAAATCATAGCTTTGCATGAGAAAGAGTGCTTGCAGAATACATACCAAATATTTATATAAATTTTAGAAACATACAATAATTAATACATTACTTAGGGATATATCAAGGTAGAAAGGCATGGGAATGATAAAACACAAAATCAGATGAGTGTGCATCCTGGGGAGGAATGATAATGGCTTATTTCCTAATCCAGTGGTGAGTCCATGGGTGCTCCTTTTTATCATTATATTATATATTTATATGCTTTTCTATGCACGAAATGTTGTAATTTTTTATTGTGGTAAAATAAACATAATATAAAATTTAGCATTTTAACCATTTTGAACTAACTGTACAATTTACCGGCACTACTCAAGTACGTTCACATTGTTCATAACCATCCACCACTATCCATCTTCAGAATTTTGTCATTATCTCATACTATGCTCTCAGCATCATATCCAAGAAATCATTGCCAAATCTCATCTCATGAAGCTTTTGCCCTGTTTTCTTCTAAGAGGTTTATAGTTTTAGCTCTTACGTTTAGATCTTTGATCCATTTTGAGTTAATTTTTATTTATGGTGCGGTGTCCAATATCGTTGTTTTGCAGGATAATACATTTTTAAACAAAAAGAAAAGAATGGGAGAATACTAGCTCCAGAAAGGGACTTCCCCATTTACGAATGAAGAAACTGCGACAGAGAGAAAATAACACCAAGCTTACACAACTGATTTACACCCTGTCCCTTTGGCAATGCATTGCTTTAGACAGCTGCGCGGTAGCCCTAGCAGCAGGGGCTCCCGCCCTGGGTTTGGATCCGCCCCTTAGGGGCGAGAGCCTTCTGGTGTTATGGCGCTGGCTCCGCCCCTTCCTCCGCCCCTGAGGGCGGGGCCAAGCGGCTCAGGACCTTCGGAGCCTTGGAAAACTGGCGCGGAGCACGGGTGGGAGGGAAAGCCGGGCAAATCTCGTGTCTCATGGACCGCCAGCGACTGGCTGGAAGGCCTGGACTCCAGCTCCGCTTTTGCAGGATGCCAGGCCTTGTTTTCCCTCGCGCTCTGGGAAGGGCGGGAGCCTCATCCAGCTCGGGTGCACGGCGGGGGCGGGGCGTGGGGCGTGCGCGCGAGCTCGGCCCGGATTGGCCGCTCGGGGTGGCGCGGGGTTCGGCGGGAGCTTTGTGGGCGCCGCCGGCGCGGAGGGCGGTGCGCTGGGATGGCTCCGGGGCGGCGGGCGCGGCCCTCGGCGGCCGCGGGGTAAGTGCTGCGAGCGCGGCTGTACCTTCTTCCCCTCCTGCGGCGGTCTGTGTCTCGGAGCTGCTCGGGCTGCGTGCCGAGCCCCCCTGGCTCTGCCGCTGGGGAAGCTGTGCGAGGGACTGATGGCCCGGGGCCTCGGCGCCCACGTCTGTAAAATGGGAGCAATAATTGTCCCAACTTTCCGGGGTTACCGTGAGGGTTAGAGGAGCGACAGTCCAAACTGTGCCTGGCGGGTAGGAAAAAACGTTGGCTACTGTTGGCATTACTTTGTGTGGGTGAGTGTAGTCTAAAGTAGGCTACAAATACTTTGAAACAAAATATCCAACAACGACTTACTGAGTGCCTACTACTTTTAGACATTCCATTCTAGTGATCTTGACACTCTGGCCGTCAGGCGGTATTCTTATTTTCAAGACCCTGTTGTTTTTGTAACACAAACCACAGACCATAAAGCTGGGAGACCAAGCTGCCGCTTGTTATTCTTAAAAGGGGTGCTCCAGGATGGTCAAGCACATTTTTTTTTTAATCAAAAAGGGCAAGCATTTAAAAATAGGTTGCAAAACTGCTCTCTTGTTTTGTTTTATATGTGTGTGTGTACTAATTGTGATGTAAAACATCATTACTGTGAATCACGGTAAAGAAACAGTTGGAAAATTGGCAAATGTCCCGCAGGCCGTGTCTGATCCTGGCTGGAGGGATCTCTGCTTGCTATGGCCAGTATGCAAGATCCTGCCATCCATCCAGGAGGTCCCCCTGGGCAGTGGGAAGACTTCCTGGAGAAGGTGGCGTTTGTAGATGTGAGGTGAGGGTGGAAGGCCAGCCAAGCAGAGCGTGGGGAGAGAAAGGCTGGCTCAGGACTGAGCAGGAAGGTGGAATAAACCGAGACTAGACTCCTGTAGCCAGAGGGGAAGAAACGAGGACCCCACCACCACCACCAAGGAAAGGAGGATTGGAAGAGAATATCAGGGCCTTGAACGTCAGCTGACAAGAGTTACACTTTGATAGGCCAGTGTTGTTCTCTCTCTCTCTCCATGTATACGTATAACGTTTTTGCCTTTAAGACTCATGAAATCTGTTCCATCTTCCCCCCACCCCCAAAACCACTGGTGCATGTACACCAAAAATTTTACATATGATATCACAGAGGTTTCCATCTTTTGGAAGCCTCACCTTGCACCTAGCCTAAGGTAAGGAGGAAACGCCCATTTTTTTTTTTTTTTGAGCACAGACAAGGCAAGAGACAGTGGCAAGAATTTAGTTTAAGGAATTATGCAATCTGGTTTCTAGTCCCATTTCTGTTACTTGGCTATGTAACCACTGATAAGTCACTTAACTTTTCTGAACCCCAGAATCATGAGTGCCATAAAATGAATACCTGTCCTACCTTCTTCTTTGGATCTGAGAATCAAAGAGATCAGTGGTTCTTCAAGTGTGGTTCCCTGACCAGCAGCTTCAGCAGCACCGGGAACTTGTTAGAAATGCGGAATCTCAGACCCCATCCCAGACTTACTGAATCAGACATTCTGGGCCTGGGGCCAGACAATCTGTTTTAACAAGCCTTCCAAGTGATTCTGATGCCTGACGTTTGAGAACCACTGCTCTAAACAATTTTGCAACTTTGTGATTACATTACTATGATTCACAGTAATGACGTTTTACATCACTATTAGTACACACGCACATACATAACAAAACAAAAGGTTTATGAAAATACTATGTTTAGTGCAATCTTATATTTTATATTCTCTTGTATTTCCGGTTTTAAAATGCTAGAGAAAAAAACCTCAAAGGTTTTTTTACTATGGGCAGTTGATGAAATTTGGATATCAACTGTAGATTAATTATATCAGTGTTAAATTTCTTGATTTGGAAATTATATTGTGACTAGGCAAGATAATGCCCTCTTTCTTAGGAGAGACACACAAGTATTTCGGGGTCAAGACACACAGTGTCTCCAGTTTACATACACACACATACACACAGAAAGCAGTTGAGACAAAATGTAAGTCATTGGTGAGCGTGAGTAAAGGATATACAGAAGGTCCTTATATTATTCTTGTAACTTTTGTGGAAGTTTGGAATTATATCAGATGAGAAGTTACTCAAAGAAATATTGGTTCAGCCACACGACACTGATGTTGGTGTCCACAAATGGTGTCTGCATGGCCTGTCTCAAAGTCAGCGACTATGTCTGGTGTTACTCCAGAGCGTGCCAGTGTCCTTGTGCAATGCCTGCTGCACAGAGGATGCTCAACGTGTATTCACTGACAGTGTGGTTTATTTCCTGCCCTCTTATTTCCAGTTTTTATTCTGGTTGCTTTTGTTACATCTTGTTTCTGGTAAGCTTGCTGAAGATATGCAGCTGTTTCCTTTTATCCTCATGCCCAGTGGAGGGAGCATGAAGGAGTGGAAAGAGGGCAGCTCTGGATCTGAACTGATGCAGCTTTTAATTCCGGCTTCTCTCCTTCCTGGCCGTGTGTTGCTTTGGGCAAATATACATCTGTAGCATGGGATTTGCTTCTACCTTGTAGGACTGTTAGAGCTAAATGATAAAGTGTACGTAGAAGAGCCAGGCGCAGGATGGAACGGGTGTCAGGCGCTTACTAACTTTGCACAGTTCTGCAGAAACAGTCAGTCATTGCTATTGCTTGGGACCTTAGGGACAAGGCTAACAGCAGGATTAGGCATTTTCCATGTCCCTGAGGGAGAGACCTAAGCTGTTTTATACATTGGTGATCTGATTTGACCTACAAAAAATATAATTAAATTTGTGATATGGGCTCTGCTTTCTAAAAGGATTTTGCCTAAACTGAATTTCACTGGGTGCACACTGTTATTGCAACGAATGAGGAATATGATTTGGAAAGAAAATGCTTGGAAAGAGTTGCAAGTTATGGTGTTTCCCCCAATTATTTTACAATATTTCCTAACTCTTTTGTGTGTTTGCTGTTTAATAGTGCGAGATATTCAAAGAGCACTGTAGGAAGAGCACATTCCACAAAACATGTAAGTTATCTTTTTATATTTTAATATAATTTTCTCATAATCAACAACACAAAGTAACATTTTATGGGAGCCCCAGAGTTTCGTAGACTTCACTTGGTAAGCTCAGTGTTTTGTTGTAGTGAAAAAGTATGTTTCTTTTCCTCCCACTTTTTCTAGTATAATGGAGAAAATGACCATTGTTGATGTTTTGAATCTCTTTTGAGGGGGCCCAGGTTGGTTTTATTTTCGTTTGGATAATTGATGTCATATAAACATTGTACAACACTGTATTTTGCTTTTTTCGTTTTTAGCCATTTCTCCTTGTTATAGTTTTCAGGAATTGTTTATGATTTCATAATATTCCACTTAGTCCACATTATAGTTTTACATTAGAGTCTTAGAATAAGTATGTTATGTTAGGGCAGGTACATTTCTTTCACACTCTTGATAGCTCATTCCACATCATTTTCCAGTGGCCTGTCTAGCTGGCATTGGAAATCCGCATTAACACCGGACGAGAGCACCTGCTTTCTGGGCGCTGGGGCGTCAGGAGTTCTCTCTGCTCTGTCCTGACCCCGGCCGTCTGTCTTGCATGGTCTCTCTGCCCTACTGCTTTAACCCCTGCCTTCAGAGGCTACCCTTTTACTCTCTGGGGAGCCCTGGGACACCTCTGCAGGGGTGTGCTCAGCTCTGTGATCCCACCCAGCCCTAGCGTGCTTGTTCTTTGGATGGATTTCTCTCCGCTCTCCGCCCTGGGTGGCTGTAGTCCATCGTGCCTGGGGGGGATTTCTCCCAGCTCTTCAGCCCCACTCCCAGCCTTCCTTAACTGACAGTCCAGAGTGCCTGGTGTGGATTTCTTCAGGCTTCCTGACTTGTCCCTCCTTTGGAAGGCCGCTGCCTTACGTGTGCTGGAGGGAGGGCCGAGATCTGTCAGCATCCCTTCTTTGGCAGTCCACCCCCAAGCCCTCTATGAATCCTTTTTTGAGGGAGTCTGTGCGTGGTAGAGTTTTTGTTTTGTCAGTTTTATGCCATCACCTTTATGTCTTCCAGAGTTTCTTCATCTATGAATGGCACCCTTGCACATTTTCCAGAGTTTCTCTGGAAGTTTCTCTCATCTTCTGTATGTTTTGGTCCTGCATTAGGATTTGAGGTAGAAACTCCATGGGGCTTATTGTTAGTCCATTGAACAGTAAACTGTGGTCTTTCTCCTTCAGTCAGGAGTCTTCACCCCTGTGTGTCTTCAGAACTGTTGAGGAACTTTCGGGTAAACGGGCATATTTCTGGGGAGAGGACCCACAGCCTTCGCGAGGTCAGGAGTTGGCAAACTGTGGCCCGTGGGCCAAATCTAGCCTGCCACCTGTTTTTGCACAGTGCTGTGAGCTGAGAATGGTTTTTACCTTTTTAAATGGTTGAAATAAAAAAAAAGAAGAATATCTCATGACGTGAAAATGATATGAAATTCAAATTTCAGTATCCATAAATAAGGTTTTATTGCGACACAGCTGTGCTTTATTCTTTCTGCATTATCGCTGTCTGCTTTTCACACTACAGTGGCCGAGTTGCGTAATTGCAGCAGAGACCCTATGGCATGCAAAGCCTATCATATTTACTCTCTAGTCCCTCCTAGAGAAAGTTTGCCAACCCCTGCCTTATGTTATCAGAGGCGTCTGTGTCCTTTCAGAAAGCGTTGTGGCTCGCTTCTTTAAGCGGCAGTGATAGGAACATCCTTGCTAAATAAATCAGCTTTGTAATGTTCTTCTTTGTTAGAGCCAATTCAATGACTTTGACTTTATTCATTCTCAGAAAACTGGCCAGAAGCACAGGCCTCTCGATGTGTTTGATTTTTCCGATGATTCTGATACCTCCAGCATCGGCAAACTGGGTGAAAATGAGAAAGATGAAGAACCTTATGAAACCTTTGGTTAGTATTTGAAATAGTTATCCTAAAAACTTTAAAGTAGGTCAAGCTACAGCATAGGCTAGTTACTAATAAAAGTAAAGAAATATCTTCAAATATAAAAATTAGTTGACTGCATATGAATCGAGTGTTCTGGGGAGTACTGATAGTTTGAAGTACTTTTTCTCATGTCTAAGAACGTTGGAACTAAGAACTCTATTAAACGTTATCAAAGTGGAACTCTTCTAGTAGCACTTGTCAATCAGCCTGCTATGTTAGGACACCTATTATAGCACTCTGTAAAGGAGGAATATGAAGTCTCTTTCTCAGTCCATACCACCAATTGCGTCATTCGGTAAGGGGTTTTACTTTAGGGAGGAGAAGAGGGTACTTCTCCCTTTTCTTAAACACGTGAGGCAGAGGACGCTTCAGGAGACCCAGTGGGAGAGTCTCACCGGTGTTCCTTGGAGTGCGAAGAAGGCGGGGCTGGTGCCCGGTTGACCAGAGTGTGTGAGTGGTCCAGAGGGCACTGCTTCTGTCAGTGTCTCACTCACTGGCCATTTCAGGGCCAGAAAAGACACGGAAAGAGCCAAGTGCCCCCACATCTAGAACAGCAGGGATCAGACATTCTTGCTGTAGTAAGTTTTAAGGGAATTTTGAAAACATAGACCCTTTCACATATTTTTAATTTGGCATCTAATATTTTTCATTCTAATGTTTTGTTAATAAAAGAAAATCTGGGAAATTTTATAAGATGAAAAGTAATCATTACCAGAATACATCTTTTATTATGATTCGGTAAATATGTTTTAATTATTTATCTAAATGGAAAATATCTGAATCTAAAAGAAATCACATAAAAATTGAGATATAATTCACTTACCATAAAATTCACTCCTTTCAAGTGTAGAATTGAGTGATGGTTTAGTATAGTCAGAAAATTGTAAAGCCGTCACCATTATCTACTATTCCAGACATTTTTTTTTATTGAGGTAACATTGTTTTACAGCGTTTTATAAATGTCAGATGTACGTAATTATATTTTGGTTTCTGTGTAGACGACATCGTGTTCACAACCCAAAGACTAATTACCATCCATCCCGGTACACATGTGCTCTGTGACCGTCTGCCTCCCCACTTCTCCTCTGGTAACAACCAATCAAATCTCTCTATCGATGTGTTTCTTTGTTGTTGTTGTCTTTATCATCCACTTATGAGTGGACTCACAGAGTACTTTGGCTTTCTCTGTCTAGTAATACCTTTAAGGTCCATCCATGTTGTCACAAACGGCAAATTTTCATCTTTTATTTTATCGTGGAGTAGTATTTCCATTGTGTATGTATATATACCACGTCTTCTTCATCCATTCATCCGTTGATGGGCACTTAGGTTGTTTCCAAGTCTTGGCTATTGTGAATAATGCTGCAATGAACATAGGGGCACGTATATCTTTTTGAATCAGTGTTTTTGTGTTTGGATAAATACCCAGAAGGGGAATAGCTGGATCATATGGTAGTTCTCTTCTTAGAAACATTCCAGAACATTATATCACCCCAAGAGGAAACTCTGTATGCATTAGTAGCCACTCCCCCTTCCTCTTTCCTCCCGGCCCCTAGCAGCCATAAACGGCTGCCTGTCTCTCTGGATTTGCCTATTCATAGAATGGAATCATACTCTGTGGTCATTTGTGACTGGCTCCTTTCACTTAGCATAGTATTTTCAGTGTTCATCTGTGTTGTATCAAGTATCAGTACTTCATTCCGAAAGTTTTTATAGCTCAATAATCCATTGTTTGGATATACCTCATTTTGTTATCCATTCATCAGTTGATGAACATTTACGTTGTTTGGCCGTTATGAGTTATCCTGCCGTGAACATTCGTGTACCAGTTTTTATTTCTCTTAGGGATATGCCAAAGAGTGGAATTACTCAGTCGTATGGTAATTCCACTTCAGCCTTTAGAGGAACGGTTTGACAAAGCAGCTGCACCCCTTACATTTCCATCAGCACAGTGTGAGGGTTCCAGTTTCTCCACGTCTTCATCAGCACTTGTTATTGTCTGGCTTGTTGATTCCAGCCATCCTAATTGGTGTGAAGTGGTATCTCATTTACCTGTGTGTGTGGTAAAATATACATAATGTAAAATTTACCATTTTACCCATTTTTAAATGCGCAGTTCTATGGCTTTAAGTACATTCACGTTGTTGTGCAGCCGTCATCATCCATCTCCAGAACTTTCTCATTCACCCTCACTGAAACTCTGTCCCATTAAACGGCTCCTCATTCCCCACCCTCCAGCCCAACTTTCTGTTTCTCTGGATTTGACTACTTTAGATACCTCATATGAGAGGAATCATACAATATTTGTCCTTTTGTGTCCTTTTTCTCCACTTAGCATCATGTCTTCAAGATTCATCTGTGTTGTAGCATGTGTCAGAATTTCCTTTTTAAAACTGAGTAACAGGGGCCGGCCCGGTGGCACAGCAGTTAAGTGCACACGTTCCGCTTCAGCAGCCCGGGGTTTGAATCCTGGATGCAGTTTGAATCCCGGATGCAGACATGACACCGCTTGGCACACCATGTTGTGTTAGGCATCCCACATATAAAGTAGAGGAAGATGGGCGCGGATGTTAGCTCAGGGCCAGTCTTCCTCAGCAAAAAGTGGAGGATTGGCAGATGTTAGCTCAGGGCTAGTCTTCCTCCAAAAGAACCAAAAAAACCTGAGTAATATTCTGTCAGCGGACACTTGGGTAGTTTCTACCTTTTGACTATTGTGAATGGTGCTGTTATGAACATGGGTGTGCAATAGCTGTGCAAGTCTCTGCTTTCACTTTTTTTGGATGTATACCCAGAGGTGGAATTGCTGGGTCGTATGGTAACTCTAAGTTCACTTTTTTGAGGAATTGCCATGCCGTTTTCCACATTGGCTGCACCGTTTTACATTCCCACTAGCAATGCACAAGATTCCGATTTCTCCACATCCTCACTTGTTTCCTGTTTTTTTGACAGTAGCCATCCTAATGGGTGTGAAGCAGTATCTCATTGTGGTTTTGAATTGTATTTCCCTAATGACTAATGATGTTGGGCATCTTTTCACGTGCTTATTGGCCATTTGTTTATCTTCTTTGAAGAGGTGTCTGTTCAAATCCTTTACCGCTTTTTAAATTGGGTTATTTATCTTTTTATTGTTGGGAGAGTCCAGTTTGCATGACTGGTTCCATATGGAGATTTGGGATTGGTCTATTTCTCCTTTTTGCTTGTTGTTAGTAGAGCAAATAAGTCCCTTTGCCTACTTGAGGGCAATACAAAGTTATTAGTAACTGTAAAATTGTGCAGTTGACAGGTTCATAATTTAAGCAGCTCTTTATTTGAAAATGTTGTTGAAATTTGCACTGTCGTGCTGAAGTGTGAGCATGAAGAAATGGGTGCTCAGCTCTTCCCAGGCTCCCCTGCAGGAATTCAACCCCATGGTGCTGGCCACCTGCCTCCCACCCTGCTCTGAGCCCGACCCTGTGTGCTGACGTCTCTCCTGCTCTGCTCTCCTGAGCAGGGAGGAGCATTCTCTTCCTCTTAGCATCTTCTCTCTGTGCCTTTCCACCAAGGCCATTTGTTCTCCTTGTTCATCGTCTTCTTCCTCATCCCAGTTAGCTTTTTCTGCTAACTGTGGGCTCTAGAAGTGCCGAGTAAAGTAGAGAGAGAGGAAGTGAGAGGTGCCTGGAATCCTCCGTGGAGGTCCATTCGGTCACAGATGGTGCGTGCCCGCCCTGTGCTGGCCCTATGTGAGGAAGTAGTCACGGAGTGGGCCCGGCACTCGAACCCTTAGAGTTTACAGTTAACGCAGTGGTCTCGCGAGGAGAGTGTGTGACGCTCCATCGGATGAGGAAAGAGAATGCCAGACTTCCTATTTATATTTATCTTTTATCTCATTAAAATTTTCTGGCTAATATGTAAGTATAGTAATACAGGTTATAATTGTAAATATCTATGTATTGGTGAAATGGTTTGAATTTTTCATTGTTGAGGTGTGAGATCAGAAACATGTGGGAAGTAGCCTGTGCAAAGGATTTGGATTTTGTTAACCATAAACAAAGATTGCTTTGTACTCCATAGTAAAGGAACAAATGTAAATACTGCCCAAACTGCCAGACTTTGAGCGTAGCTTTCTTTGTCTTTCGTAGATCCTCCCTTACACAGCACTGCCATATATGCGGATGAAGACGAACTCTCCAAGCACTGTGGGTCCTCCATCCCTTCAACTCCTCAAGGAAAAGAAGCGAAAAGAAGGTACGGTTGTGTCTCAAGCAACGGTTTATTCATGGTTAGTGGGATTTCTGAGAAGCTCCTTAAGATAGAAACTTATAAAAGTAAAGCTTTTTAAAGATCTTTGGGCCAACTTATGTCTGTGTGGCTCACTCCCTGGTTTCCTTTCAGATCTCCCCTGATCACAGCAGTCTCCTCTGATACCTCATAGAAAATATCGCCTTTGTCAATATATTTCCTTTACTCTGTTCTTTTTCTCATAGCATTTATCTCTACCCAACCAATACTTTATGTTCATTTTTTAGTTTGTTCGTTGTCTGTCCCTCCGCAGTAGAAGTATCTTCAAAAAGAGTAGGGCTTTGTTCTGTTCACTGCTATCTCTCGGGTGCCTAGAACACTGCCTGGCATATGGTCGGCATTCAGTGAATACTGGAATTCGGTCTTCCTTCATGCCGTGTAAGGGTAGTGTCATGGTTAGGGTCACTGGCCCTGAACCCAATGTCCTGGTTCAAATCTTTGTTCTGCTACTACGAAGTCTTTGACCTTGGACTAGATATTTAATTTGTAGGTTCTTTCATCTGGAAAGTGGGATAATGATACAACTTACTTTATATGATTGTTTTAAGATGAATTTATCCTCTTAAGCTCTGAAGACAGATTGGCGCCTAATAAACTTTCAAATGTTAGCTTTTCATTATTGATATTTTTTCAACAAACATTTATTGAGCACTGACTACATACCAGGCACTGTGTTAGGCTCTTGGTTTAAAATAATAATTCAAAATGGACTTAATCCTTGTCCTCATGGAGCCTATGGAGCAACAGATATTAATGAAGAATCACTGACAAGTCACGTATAGGGATGGACGTGATGCTGTGAGTAGGAGTTAGGTTGGTGAGGGGTGGAGTGAGGAACATTCCACACAAGGGAATAGCGTGTCTCCAGGCGCCGTGGTGGGAGGAAGCATGGTGAGTCTGTGGGACTCAGAAAAGCTGGGATGCCCCAGAGGAAATAGAGTGAAGAAGGGAACACATTGCAAGGTGGTAGTTACTTTGAATGTCACGATTAGGAGAGATGGTTAGTTGTCTATTCCGACGTCTTCCCCTTCTTCCTTGGTGATAGAATGTTTGATTTTAGCTGAGCCCCTGGCTGTCAGAACAAAGAATATATTTCCTACCTTCTCTTGCAGCCGAGATGTCTATATGATTAAATGTTAGCCCACATTCCAGCTTCATCTGCAACTTCTGGAAGTGTCCTCATAGGGAGGATTGTGCCTTCTTTTTTCCTTCCTTCTTCCTTCTGGTTGGAATTGGATGTGACTGCTGAAGTTTGAGCAGCCATCTTGGACCATGAGGCAGCCTACTAAGAAAATGGTTCAATAACATAGAAGGAATCTGGGCTCTGATGATGGTGGGGCTGCTATACCAGCCCTGAAATGTCTCTGGAGTTTTGTAGCAAGGGAAATAGAGTATCTCGTTTAAGCCATTTTAGGGGTGTATTTTTCATCATTTGCTGCCATAGCTAATCCTAACTTACAAACTTGGTAAAGAGTTTTGTCACTATCCTCAACAGTTGAAGAATTCTAAGCAGGAGTGACGTGGTCAGGTTTACATTTAGAAATTATCACTCTGGTTGCTGTATGGAGAATGGATTTGAGAGAGGCAAGAATGGAGTGGAGAGACCAGTCTGGAAGCTGTTTTAGTGGTCTGCGGCAGGGAGGACCACGGTAATTGAGACAGAGATGGAGGCAACTGGCTGGGTTCAGGAAATAGTTAGGAGGCAAATCCACGGGGCTTGGTGTTGTGTCGGATATCGGAGGGTGGGAAAGAGTTGCTGTCAGAGACAACTGGCTTTCTGGCTCGTATACATGGCTGGTGATCGTGCCACTGGCTAAGTAAGATAGGAGTTACTAGGAGATTGAGTCACCCTATCATCATCAGCCGATCGTGAATTTGGTGTGGAGATGTCAAAGAGTCAAAGAGACTGTCATATGCTTGAGTCTGGAGCCCGGAGGAGAGGGCTAAGCTGGAGTTCAAACTGAAGTTGTCTGCATATAGTAGGATGCATGGATGGATGTGGGCATGGATGAGAGTTCACAGGAGAGACTGTGGCCTGAGAGAAGGCAAGGACCTGGGACCAGTCCTCAAGATAACCTGCCTACTGTCCTGGTAGAGGAGAAGGATCTTTCAAAGGAGAGAGAAGAAAAGTGGCTAGAGAGGAAAGAAGAAAACCAGGGCAGTGCTTGTTTGCAGGATAGTGGGGGGAGTGTGCATGTGTGTGTGTGTGTGTGTGTGTGTATGTGTACACCGAACAGGTGCATTGCAATGAACAATATGGACATTCCTGGTAATCTTGGTTTTGGCGGTGTGACAAGTCCAAACGAAAAATGTTGTGTGGGTTAGACAGGGTCTGTATGTGGATACAAAGGGGAGTCAGGGCAGCAGGGATGCTCTGGAGAGAGACCAGCAGCATTGCCTGGGACTCACGGAGGCGTCAGCATCCAGGGCCCAGATCCTCTCCAGGGATGTTCAGTTGTTCGTTCCTAGACTTCTCCCTCCCTCCCTCCTCTTTACGTGCAGGAGATTCCGTTCTCTGCCTTCTCCTCTCTACCCACCCCACCATTACTCTCAGGGTTTAACTACCCATATGCCACTGTTCCCCAAGTCTCTCTCGCCCAGCCTTTCTCCTGAGGCCCAAGATGTCCTGCATCTTGGCCATATTTCCCTAGATGCCCGCAGGTGCCTATGACTTGGCAAAGGCAAAACCAAGCTCAATCCCTTTCTCCCTCATCCAGAGTCAACAAGCTGCTTTGGTGTTTTCTGGGTTAGTGGTCCTGCTGTTACCTAGTCACCCAGAAAAGCAATCTGGGAATCATTCCTGGTATCTTCTGCTCTCTGACTGATCCTGTCTATCCTGGCCTCTGACTGCCTCGAGAATCCACTTTCCCTCCCCGTAGCCCTGCTGCCTCCCTGCAGCGGCCGTTGGTTATGCACTTGCTGCCCTCACCAGCACTTCTGCAGTAGTTTCCTGCTTGGTCTCCTCGTCTCCAGAATCGTTCTTTCTCCTCTGATCCACCCACCTTCCCACACAGCTTCCAGTGTGATCTTTCTAGAATGCGAGTCTTATCTCACTCTCACGCTTCCCACCTTGTAAGAGCACCCCATTGCCTGTACACGTGGCATGGGCCAGTTTGGATCCTCAAGTCAGTAGACGCTGAGGCAGAGTTCGAACTGAAGAGCTTTATTAGTAATTCCTATGAAAGTGAAAGGTGGAAGGGTCAGGGTTGGCAGAGATGGCCTCAGACTGCAGTGCAGCCCTCGCGCTTCCAGCCAGCCCACTGGGAGCTCTGGAGGGAGGAGTGCCCGTTAGAGGAGGCCTGTGTTGGGCAGAAGTGGCAAGGCCCTGTGCTGCCTTTGGCCTTCCTGTTAGACAGTGAACCCATTAAAGGAAGCCCTCTCATTTTTAAAATAATTTTATTCACTGTACTTTGCATTTTGATGTTGGTGTGAAATAAATGTTTGTTGTATTAAAATGAATGAAAAAAATGAAAGAACTCTTATCACTCATCAGAAGTTTAGAGTTATTTTTTTCCTTTTCAAAGGAAAAAAGAAGGTATTCCTGTTATGTCACCTAATCATAGGCCAGGTGTCTGTGGATTAGCTCTTAGTACAAATGATGGCCGCTACACCTAGGAGGGGTTAGATGGAGGAAGGTGCAGTTCTCAGACGTGACGACAAGATGCTACAGTAATGGGACACTTACCTGCCTACCAAGGATAAACTGATGTGGCCAGGGTGTGGGAAGATGTGGGAGATGACCAGCAAATCTGGGAAGGTGGCAGGCCCGCCTGTGACACGGGGGAAATCTCCTTACATTGAACTTGTTTTTGTGTTGGGCAAACGACTTACGGAAGACGTGTGAATAAAAATGAAATGTGTGCAAGATATTGATGGCTTGTTCTTTGGTACAGTTTGAACACTCCTGAAATTGAAGCAAGTGAAAACGAGTCTGTAATAATTAGTGCAAAAAAGGTATGTTTTCTCTTCTATCTTAATTTGTAAGATATTTCACATCCTATTTAGACTGGATGCAAGTGGAGAAAATGTTCTGTAGAATATTTCATATCCTGTTTAGATTGGATGCAAAGGGAGAAAGTGTTCTATAGCAACATAGAGAAAGAGTATTATGTTTTAGAAGATACTTTTATAATAAAAAGTGGACTATATTTATATCTGAAGTGTTCTTCATTACAGAGGTCTCAAATTTCTACGTACCATGTCAGTTTTCATAGTGTTCATGTAATGTGTTTAGACTGAGATTTGCAAAGGCACAGTGGATTGTTGGGAGTGTTTATTTGGAGCTATTTAATCTGGGTTTCCCATCCTATCCAGTAATCACGTCGCCATCTCCCTAGTGTTCAGTCTTGAAGTTCAGAAATGAGAAATGTGGACTGTACAGTTATCTACTATTACAGTAAAAACGATAGCATTTGTATTTTCTAAACCAGTAATGCTGTTTGCTTGATATAGTCAGGAAGAAAACTCAAGCCCATTAGTGATGAATCTGAAAGCAGTGAAGAAAGTGACGTAAGAAGAAAAGTTGAACTAGCAGAGAAAACCAGTACAGAGCAACGTGAAGCTGCTCCAGCTACAGCATCTTCAGAACTTTCAGAGAAACCAGTGGAATTGGTCACTCCTAGGAAGATAGGACCCCTTAGTGCCGAGTCCACTGTTGAAAAAGAGACCCTGGCAACAGAAAGTCAACGGGTAAGAGAATGTCTGCCATCCCCTTGGAGAGAAGAGAAAGTTGATCAAAACGTGTTAAGGAGGAAAATAAAGCATTTTCTCTCTTTCCTTCAGTTCTTTTAAAAAATGTTTTATATTTTTCTTGTTATAAAAATGTTTGTTTTAGAAAATTTAGAAGGTATGGAAAAGAAGATAAAATTATGTATAATTCCATCACCCGAAATAACGACCAGGTTTTTAAATCTGCACTCTTCAGTACTTTCACTGAGCTTTTCTCACCCTAAGTGGGACCATATCCTTGTCATTAAGTATTCTACAATACCATTTTAATGAATGCATGACATTTCATTCATGAATTTTCCATAGTTTAGTTAATCTCTTACTAAGGAATGATTGCCACTTAAAAAATTTTAAGTGCTTTGAATTTCTTTCTGGCTAAATCTTTCTCCACACCCTTGATCATTTCCTTAGAACAGAATTGCTATGATAACATTTCTAGTCATGCGTGTTCTGTTTTAAGATTCTTGACATATCTTTTGGTCAGACTCTTAATATGTCATTTTATTCACTTGGCTTAGTGTTTTGAGTAAATAATTCACCCTCATTTTCACAAATTTTTCTAAGTATAACAATAAGCTATACCTGCCACCTCATCTTCCACTTTCCACCTTCCCCACCCATTGAATATACACATAGGTAAGTTTATAACTAGTTTCTTATGTATTCTCCCAGAGTTTCCTTCTACCCATATGAACAAGTACGAATGTGTTTTCTTCTTTTAATTTCCCCTTTTTTACACAAATAGAAGCATGTTATACATGTTGTTCTGCCTCTTGTGGGTCTGTCTTGGTGAACATCCCATGTAAACTTGAATTTACAGTTGTTCAGTATGATATTCTGTGAATGTCAACTGAGGCCAAGTTGATTGACAGTGTGGCTCAGATATTATCTCTCCTTATAGTCTTTTTTTTATTGAGGTCATACTGGCTTATAACATTGTGAAATTTCAGGTGTACATTATTATTAGTATTCTGTATAGACTGCATCATGTTTACCACCAATGGTCCATCCTCATATATATGTGCCCCTTTATCCCTTTTGCCCTCTCCTCACCCCCTTCCCCTTGGTAACCACTAGTCTGCTCTCCTTATCTGTGTTTGTTTATCTTCCACATGAGTGAAATGATATGGTATTTGTCTTTGTCTGACTCATTTTGCTTAATATAATACCCTCAAGGTCCATCTATGTTGTCGCAGATGGCACAATTTTGTCTTTTTCTATGCTTGAGTAGCAGTCCATTGTGTGTATATACCACATCTTTATCCATTCAGCCATTGATGGGCACTTGAATTGCTTCCATCTCTTGGCTATTGTGAACAATGCTGTGATGAACATAGGGGTGTGCAAAATCTCTTTGAATTGTTGGTTTCATGTTCTTTGGATAAATACCCTGTAGTGGGATAGCTGGGTCGTATGGTATGTCTATTTTCAATTTTTTGAGAAATCTCCATACTGTTTTCCGTAATGGCAAAACCAGTTTGCATTCCCACCGGTAACGTATGAGGGTTCTCTTTTCTCTACATCCTCTCCAACCCTTGTTATTTCTTGTCCTGTTAATTATAGCCATTCTGACGGGTATGAGGTGATATCTCATTATAGTTTTGGTTTGCATTTCCCTAATAATTAGTGATGTTGAACATCTTTCCTTGTGCCTGTTGGCCATCTGTGTATCTTCTTTGGAAAAATGTCTGTGCATATCCTCTGCCCACTTTTTGATCGGGTTGTTTATTTATTTGTTGTTGAGTTGTGTGAGTTCTTTACATAGTCTAGAAATTAACCCTTTGTCAGATATGTGGTTTTTAACGTTGCAGTTTTGTGGATTTTCTTTTGTTCTCTGATCTTTTGTGTCATGAATTTTGAAGCTATCTTATTTGTTTTTTAATTTTAGACTTATAGAAACGTTGCAAATATAGTTCAGGAAGTTCTCACAGATTTTTTACCCAGCTTCATCTGATTCTTACATCTTATGTAGCCAAAGTACATTGATTAAAACCAGAAAATTAATGTTGATATAATACTATTATCTAAAGTACAGAAGCTCTGTTTTTAATTGCATACTTATTTAAGGTTGTTTGTCTTCTTGATGAATGGCTTTATTATGATGAAAATTTCCTCTTTAATTCTAATACTTTTTTGTCTTAAAATCTATATTGTCTGATATTCATCTAGCCCCAGCAGCTTATTTTGCAAGGTAAATCTTTTTTCATCCATTTACTTTCAACCCTGTCTTTATTTTTTTTCCAGCTTTATTGAGATATAACTGATATATAACATTATGTAAATTTAAGGTGTACAATGTGTTGATTTGATACACTTATATATTGCAAAATGATTACCAGTAGCATTAGTTAACAGCTCCATCACTTCATATAATTACCATCTTTTCTGAGGTGAGAACATTTAGGATTTACTCTTTTAGCAACTTTCAAGTAAATATAGTACTGTTAACTATAATCACCATGCTGTGCATTAGACTATTAGAACTTATTCATCTTATGACTGGAAGTTTGTACCCTTTGACCAACATCTCCCTGTTTCCCCCACCCGCCAGTCACTGGAAACCACCATTTACTCTTTGTTTCTATGACTTCAGCTTTTTAAGATTCCACATAGAAGTGATATCATTCAATATCTGTCTGTCTCTGACTTACTTCACTGAGCATAATGCTCTCACGGCCCATCCGTGTTGTCACAAATGGTACAATTTCCTTCTTTCTCATGACTGAATAATATTCCATTGTATATATATATATATATATATATATATATACACACCACATTTTCTTTCTCCATTTATCCATAGACGTACACTTAGGTTGTTTCCATATCTCGGCTATTGTGAATAATGCTACAGTGAACATAGGATTACAGATATCTCTTTGAGATCCTGTTTTCATTCTCTTTGGATATATACCCAGAAGTGGGATTGCTAGATCATATATGGTAGTTGAGTTTTTAATCTTTTGAGTAATCTCAAAAAAAACAAAGTGAGATATTGAAATTCCCTACTATTACTGTATTGTTGTCTATTTCTCCCTTCAAACATGTTAGTATTTGCTTAATATATTTAGTACTTTTGCTTTATATATATATATACTTATGATTGTTTTATCTTCTTGATGAATTGACCCCTTTATCATTATATAATAAGCTTCTTTGTCTCTTGTTACAGTTTTTGGCTTAAAGTCTATTTTGTCTGATAGAATTATAGCTACCCCTCCTCTCTTTCAGTTTCCACTTGCATGGAATATGTTTTTCCATCCGTCACTTTGAGCCTATGTGTGTCCTTAAGGCTGAAGTGAGTCTCTTACAGCATATGGTTGGGTCTTGTTTTTTATCCATCCAGCCACTCTATGCCTTTTGATTGAAGAATTCACTCCGTTTAGAGTAATTATTGATAAATAAAGGCTAATGCCATCTTATTGTTTTCTGGCTGTCTTGTACTTCCCTTATTCCTCTCTTCGTTGATGATTTTCTGTAGTGATAAGCTTTGATTCTCTCTCTTTTGGGAATTTACTGTAGGTTTTTACTTTGTTGTTACCATGAAGGTTATATAAGACATATACGTATCTGTAGTTAGATGTAACTGTATATAAATATACATGTTTATAGTTGTGTATAAATACATAGTTATATATAAAGTAGTTTTATAATATATATGTCTATTTTATGCTGATAACAACTTAACTTTGATCACATATAAAAACCCTACCCTTTTGCTCCCCTTTTTTTTGGATGTCACAGTTTACCTCTTTTCCTACTGTGTATTCATTAACAAATTATTGTCGCTATAATTATTTTTAATACTCCTGTCCTTTCACCCTTATACTAGAGTTAAGTTGTTAACACACCACCCTATTACAGTATTAGTGTATTCTGAATTTGACTGTATACTCACCTTTACCAGAGGAAGATTGGCACAGATGTTAGCTCGGGACTGTGCTCACCTTTCATATTACTTACTAGCGTCCTTTCACTTCAACTTAAAGATCTCCTTTCAGCGTTTGTTGTCAGGCAGGCCTTGTGGTGATGAACTCCCTCAGCTTTTGTTTACTAGTGAAAGTCTTTGTCTCTCCTTCATTTCTGAAGGATGTCTTTGCCAGATAGAGTGTTTTTGGTTGCCAGTTTTTTTCTTTGAGCCCTTTGAATATATCCTTCCCCTCTCTCCTGACCTGGTAGGTTTCTGCTGAGAAATCTGCTGATAACCTTATGGCAGTTCCCTTGTAAGTTTCAAGCTTCTTTTCTCTTGCTGCTTTTAGGATTCTCTCTGTGTCTTTGATTTTTGACAGTTTTGTGTCTTGGAGAGGATCTCTTTAGGTTAAATTTGTTTGGTGAGCTGTGAGCGTCAGAACTTGGATATCTAAATCTCTCACCAGATTTGGGAAGTTCTCAGCCATTATTTTTTTTAAAAACTTTCTGCTTCTTTCTCCCTCTCTTCCTGGAACTCCCATATTTCGCAAATTGTTTCTTTTGTTGGCATCCTATTGATTACGTAGGCTTTCTTCACTCTTTTTTTCATTTTTTTCTTTGTGTTCTTCTATTTGGATAACATCAAAGTTCCTGTCTTCTGACTCACAGATTCTTTCTTCTGCTTGATTCGTTCTGATGTTGATGCTCTCTGTTGCATTTTTAATTGAATTCATTGTATTCTTCAGCTCCAGATTTCTCTTTGGCTCTTTTTAGTGATTTCTGTCTCTTTTTTAAACTTCTTGTCTTGTTTGTGTATTGTTTTCCTGCTTTTCTTGCATTGTCTTTCTGTGTTCTCTTGTATCTTGTAGCGTTTCCTTAAAACAGCTATTTTTAATTCTTTATTGGTGAAATTGCAGATCTCCATGTCTTTGAGATTGATTACTGGAAGATTATTGTGATCATTTGGTGTCATGGTTGCTTGATTTTTCACATTCATTGAAGTTTTGCATTGCTGTCTTGCATTTGAAGTAGCAGTCACCTCCTCACATCTTTACTAGTGCCTGTGGGAGAGAAATACTTTCCATCAGCCCTGGGGATTCTGAGACTTTCTCAGACCTTCTGTGCATATGCCTTCTCCATGCCTCTTGCTCCCTCTTGTGGCAGAATTCTTAAGCTTGTATGCCTTCTCTTGATCTTGTAACACAACAGGCCGAGTGTGACAGCCTCCCTTTTGTTTTCCCAAAGGTGGCACTAAAGCTTAAGTTTTTGGTCTCTCCCTGGCCCACAGATTTGGGCCAGCTTTTTGTATGTGGTCACTAGCCATCTGCCAAGGCTCGCTCTTGCCACTGCCTTCAGGAGTGTGCATAGGGAGCCGACCACAAAGTTGGGGTCTGTATTGGTGAGGCATGGAGTGCTGGGGGTGCCCATGGGCCAATTGGGATCCACAGGTGAGGTGTCCCTAGCAGCTCCTGGGTGGCGTTCTTGATGAAATCCGCAGTGCAGTTAGGATCTGCTCCCTTTACTGCCCTCTGACAGTCCTATGTGCCACCAGGTTTGCAGTTTTATTCTTTAAATATGTCATTATGTCAGCTCTTTAAATATGTCATTCTGTTGTCTTCAATCTCTGTTGTTTCTGATGAGAAGTCTGTGAGATTTGTCATTGTTCCCAAGTGTATTTACTGTGTCCGTTTTCTCTGGCTGCTGTCAAGATTTTCTCTTTATCTTTGGTTTTTGGCATTTTAACTGTGATATGCTTTTATCTTGCTTTGGAGTTTACTGAGCTTCTTGGATTTGTAAGTTGGGAAAATTTCAGTCATTATTTCTTCGAGTATAAGTTTTCTACCCCATTCTCGCTCGTTTCTTCTTTTGGAACTCTTCTTATACATATTTCAGAGCGTTTGGTATTGTCATAGAGGTTCCTGAGACACACTGATCATTTTTTTTTCAAACTCCTTTTCTCTCTGATCTGCCAATTGGATACATTTTTATTGACTTGTCTACAATTTCACTGACCATTCTTTTGCCTTTTACGATCTGTAGTTAAGCCCATGTGTGGTGGGCTGAATGGCGCCCCCCAAAGATATGTCCGAGTCCTAATTCCAGGAGATTATCCTGGATTATGTGGGTCGCCTGTGAGTGTCATCGCAGTATCCTTATAGGAGAGGAAGGGAGATTAGACAGACACATGCAAGGAGGAGGCGACATGAAAACAGAGGCAGAGATTGAAGTGCTGTGACCACAAGCCAAAGAATGCCACAGCCACCAAAGCTGGAAGAAACAAGGAATAGATTTCCCTCCCTAGGCTTTGGGAACAGTATTGCCGTCTTTGAGATTACATGCTCTAGAGTATGATTTTTACCCCTAAATTTTGGTCTTTCTACTAGCTCAGCTAGATAGACAGGTGTTAACTAGTCATTAATGAGGTGTCTGCATTTTATACATCCAATTTCTCTTGGCATTGCCTGTCCTCTGTTACCTGTTATGTTCTTAATCCCGTGAGAGCTGCTTTGAAGTAAACTAGATGTGGTGTCACTCTGCACATGTGGAGTATCAGTCAAGGACTTTTGGATAACCCCCACTTGGACTTCTGATGCTCTCCTCTGAGCAGCTTTTTCTAAGTGCTTCAGCTGCTGTGCTCTGACTTCTGCCTGCGCAGTGGAGCGGGGTTATGATGCTCTGCTTGGACTTAGCTTGCTGTGCTGCTGTCTGGAAGTGGTCCCAGGTCTGGAGGGGCAGAGCGTAGGGTTCACCTTCTGAGTTCCCTGGTCTTGTTTTGCCTCTTGCCCAATGCCTAAGCAAAGTCGTCACCCCCTCCTCCCATCATGTGCTTGTTTATGGCAGTGGGGCTAGTTCAGAAGCTGTTACTTCATCATAGCTTGGAACAGAAATTGAGCTGATTCCACACATTATTATCTTAAGTAATGTAAAAGTTCAATTTCCTCCAAAGCAAGCACTTTTAAAAGCCAACTGAAAGTTTTATTTACTTTTTATTTTGAGACAGTTTAGTTTTTTTCAGTGTTCCCTTATGTTAATTTAGATAATTTATATAGCATATTAACTTAGAAGTAATGAGAATTATAGCTAAAATATTAACTGACAGTGTTTCATAATATTGCCTTCTTAATCATTGTTTTAAGAGAAAGAAAACTTTTCTTAAACAAAATACTTTGCTGTATTTTTTTGTAGAAAACTCAGAGAAAGGAGGTGTTTCATGGCAAAAGGAAGAAATCAAGAAGTGAAGCCGGAGACTCAGGTACAGAATAGCGTTTTATATTTAACACTCATTCAAGAGTTTCATTAAAAAAACATATTTCTTTTTTTAATTTGTTAAAGTAGTAAATTGTAAGTATGTAAAATTGCCACTTTAAAAAGTTCAAAATATGTGACTTTGGAGTAACTGATTTTTTCCAGCTTCTATCATGAAAATTTTCAACATACAACAAAGGTGAAAGAATTTTACAATCGATATTCATATACCCACCACCTAGATTTTACTATTAAATTTTATTATACTTTATCACCCATCTATTAATCCATTTTAATTTTTCATCACATCGTATATATACTGTTTTCACGTATCATGCAATATGTTCTCTTTTGTATAAGGCTTCTCTTAGTTGGTGTAACTTTTTTTGAGATTCATCCATGTTATTTTGTTCATTTTTATTGACATGAATAAAACATTTATTGAAAATGTTTGGTAAGATAAAGCATTTTCTCTCTTTCCATCAGTTCTTTTAAAGATAAGTTATTTATTTTTCTTGTTATAAAAATGTGTATTTTAGAGAATTTAGTGGGCATGGAAAGAAAGGTAGAATACCGTACAATTCTATCACCCAAAAATAACCACCATGTTTTTTGGTCTGTACTGGTCAATCCTTTGAGTGAGTTTTTCTCACCCTAAGTGGGATCATATCCTTGTCGTTAAGTATTCTACAATACCATTTTAACGAATGTGTAATGTTTCATTCACAAACGTACCAGAGTTTAGATAATCTCTTACTATATATTGTTACAACTGTCTAGATCAGTACACTGAGTGACCTTTGTGTGTTCTAGAAATGACCTATTTGGTAGATTAAAATTAAGAAAATACAGTTAGCAAGAAGAGCACTGTCACCAGTAGTGCTGGATGACAGCAGACAGTTAAGGGCACAGCAAGGCCGTTAAGAGGCAGCAGCGCTTTAGGCTGTGTCAGCCGAAACGGGAGAGCCAAGGAGACGGAGAGCGACGAGTGGACGGGTCTGTGAGATGTGCAGAGACAGGCAGGAGTGAGGACGTCTCCTGTGTGCTGCTTCTTCTGTGGCTCCTTTAGCAGTTTGGAGGGACGATTTTTGTTGTAGACTTTGAGAACCCCAGACCCAGACCCAAGTTATTGATAAGCAGTATATTAAATTGACTTATCTTAATGTTCTAGATATTTCCGAATGTGGACACATTTGGTGTCTAAAAGGAAAGAAAACCAGTGACATCATGGAGTTAGATGTTGTTTTGTCTGCATTTGAGAAAACCCTCCTAGAGTATAAGTAAGTCTTTGATGCCGTGATATATGTACCTAAGAAATTTCTCTTGAAAATACCACTTTTGCTCATCCACAGCTTTTGATATGTAGTATTTTCATCATCATTTAGTTTTACATATTTTTATGTTTCCGTTATAATTTTTTCTTTAATCTTGTGAATTATTTAGTAGTATTTTTTGTATGTCCAAATATGTGACTTTTTAATTTTTATATATGTATATTTTTCTTTTTTTTAAAGATTGGCATCTGAGTTAACAACTGTTGCCAGTCTTCTTTTTTTCTTTTTATTCTTCTCCCCAAAGCCCCCCAGTACATAGTTGTAGATTCTACTTGTGATTGCCTCTGGTTGTGCCATGTGAGACACTGCCTCAGCGTGGCCTGATGAGCAGTGCCATGTCTGTGCCCAGAATCCGAACCGATGAAACCCTGGGCCGCCAAAGCAGAGTGCACGAACTTAACTACTTGGCCATGGAGCCAGCCCCATAATTTATATTTTCGTATTAACCTTCTAACTTAAATATGTTGTGGTCACATTTCATGGACTGGTGTTACCTTTTTGGGTTTTTTTTTTCAAACTTTGAGACTTTCTTTATAGCCTAGCTCATAATCCATGGGGAATCTCTAATTAGTGTGTCTATATAGAATCTCTAATTATTGGATCTATGTAGAATCAGTATTATTCAGTTTTTCCTGGTACCCCTGTCAATTTATGCTTATATGTATTTAGAGACTATTTTCTTAGGACATCATGTTTAAAACTGCTCTGTCTTGTAGATTGAACATTTTATCCTTATGTAGTGACCGTCTCCATTGCTAAAAATTCTTTTGTCTTAAAATCTATTTTATTTGATACTAAGATAGTGTTGCTAGATTTCCTTTGCTAGCATTTGCCAGATTTTACATTCTTTTTACTTTCTTTTACTTCCAATCTTTGACTTTAAACTTTAATATTTCTTATAAAATCTTTTTCAATCCAATGTGTCCATCTTGGAATTTCAACTATTGACTTTAGTCCATTTACATTTATCGTAATTATCAATATATTTGGAATAATGTATTGATGTATTGTTTTTACTCTTTTAAATTTTTTTGTTCTATTTTTTCTTTTTTTTGAGAAAGAGTAGCCCTGAGCTAACATCTGCTGCCAGTCCTCCTCTTTTTGCTGGGGAAGACTGGCCCTGAACTAACATCTGTACCCGTCTTCCTCTATTTTATGCAGGATGCCTGCCACAGCATGGCTTGCCAAGTGGTGTGTAGGTCCGCACCTGGGATCTGAACTGGCGAACCCTGGGCCACCAAAGTGGAACGTGAACTTAACCACTGTGCCACTGGGCCGGCCCCTTTTTGTTGTATTTTTTGATGTTTTTAATCCTTTCCAACTTTTTTTGAAAAATAAAACTTATAATGCCCCTAATAAGATTAGAACTTTGGCAAGCTGTCTTACCTCTTGGTCTCCTCTCCATCCCCCACCCCAAACCCCATCACGTTTACAATCCCTAGGCACTTTTAATTCTGGCTCTCAGACAGCGACAGATGTTACTAAGATATTTTGTTGATCACCTTTGCTTGATATATTTCTTGCAACATCCTCTGCACATGTCTCTTCTCTTATTTAAATGCTTCATCCAACACTTTTCAGTGTGGCTCTTTATGTAGTAACACTTCTAAATCCTTCTGATGATTTTGATCACGCCTTTGAATTTGAATGAATTTGGCTGGATCTAATATTCTGGGCTCTAAATCGTTTCCTTAAATACTTTGGAATGACTACTCCTTTGTCATCCTTTGCATCTAGTGTTGATTTGGAAAATTTGATTTGATGTCTAAGTCTTGTTTCTTTGTATGTGATCTGCTCTTTCTCTCCCTGTATAAGCTTTTATAATATTTGTCTTTGATATTCTTAAATTTCACTGTATTGGATCTGACTTTTTTAATCTAAGGCTTTTTTTAATTCCAAAAATTTAAAAATATTTTTATCCTCTCTATTTCTATAGCATTGTCTTTTGCTTCATTCTTCAAGGAGATTTCCTCGATCTAGAAACTAGAAATCTGCTAATTTATTTCTCAGATATATCTATTCTGCCACTTATTCCATCTGTTGACTTCTTAGCTGTTTTTCTTTTTATATCTAATAGTTGGTTCCTTTTTATGTCTTATATTAGTGTTTTATGTTGCTAGTATCTCCTTTAGAATATTTATTAGGCTAATTTCAAATGACGGGATCATCTATTGTGAAATCCCTGCTTCTGATAGCATTTCTGGTCTAATAAATTGCTTTCCCTTTGAAATGGTTGTGTTCCTCCAGTGTCTTGCTACTCCAGCCTATGAATTTATTTTCCCTTGGGGCTGTCAGCTTCCCTGTCAGACTGTTTATAAGGGAAGGCCACACCTCCATCCCTGTCAGTTCCTGTGGGTGCAAGCGATGGAGGTGGATGAGTCCTGGGGTGGGACGACTCAGTCACTCATCCCACAAAATAACCTGTCAGGTCAGGGCTTCACCCTTTGCCCCGCAGAGAGAAGTAGCATTAGGAGGAGATATACTCCTTAGGTTTCATTCTCCAGCACTGGGGGATTTGGCAGGAGAAGGCTGAGGAAACAACTGCCCCAAGTTGGTCAGTCTCTAGCTGTTTTCTCCAGGCCTCACACACACACAGCCCAGGTTTTACTCTAGATCACATGGGGATAGAGGTCTGAGTCGCTGCAGTGTCAGGGAGGCACGACTCGTGAGAATCAGTGCTGGGGAGGAAGCAGGAACCCACCTCAACAGCTCTTTTCCTGCCCTGGGTCACAGCCACGCCTCCACGCCAATTCACCCAATTCACCCGTTCTAATCACCTCTTCCCCTCACCCCTCAGGGGTTTTCACAGCTTCCTCCATTTGGGGAGTGTCCCTCTGTAGTTCTTCTGAGGTTGATTTTGGGAAAAGGAGCCAGCCTGTTATGCTAACTCCTCATTATAGGAAGTGTCTGTTGTGTTCTTTTGTAGTGTATGTTCCAGAGCCAGTTTGCTGTTAAAACGGGTACAGAAGTTCTCTTAACATACCCAAGACCATCTTGGTTGTGTTGTCCTTTTCCCATGATATATCTCTTTAAGGGAAGAAAAGATTTATTATAGACGCTGATGTTTCAGGGAAAATGGCATTGTTATCTTGCCTTTTAACATAGTAGGTTCTTGATGTATGAAACAATTTAGAAGAGGCATAGTATTTTCATTAGACTTTTAAAATTATAAAACACTTTTGTATTTTTTCATACCAAGTAATTCTGGTGAATCACTGATCTCATTTTATCTTCTTGACATGAAGTGTCCTCAACCGCATGGAAAGCTTCACTCTTTCAAAATCAAGTTAAGTATTTGAGGGTCTGCTTTCCCCATGGGGAAGATTCACTCTGAGCTAACGTCCAGTACCAGTCTTCCTTTTTTTTGGCTTGAGGAAGATTAGGCGTGAGCTAACATCTGTGCCAGTCTGCCTCTAGTTTTTTTATGTGGGATGCCTCCACAGCATGGCTGATGAGTGGAGTAGGCCAAACCTGGGATCTGAACCTGCGAATTTCGGCTGCCAAGGCTGCCAAACGGGTGGCTGGAACTTTAACCACTACGCCTCAGGGCTGGCCCCAGGGTCTGCTATTTTTAGTATCCTGTACCTGGCACTTGAACAGTTTTTTGTTAACAGACTTACTGATTGTAAGCAGTTTATCAATGTGTTTAAGTAGGGAAATACACCATGAAATACAAACATCACAAACTTAGAATATACAGTAGCTGACTCAGTTATCGGTAGGGAGGCAACCAGATTTTTAAAGCACTAGAATTTGAAGGAGCTGTATCTGGATATCATATGTAGACCACTACCACTGTGGTTGGTAGAATCCACTAATTTATCATCATTATAAGCCCTATGCAGAAAGGCATGACCATTTTTTCTAACTTTTTCAGTGTTTTTAACATCCTAAAATCATGATTTCACATTTATATTACAAATAATTTTTTAAAGATGGGGCTGATGTATTTTTAAATTTTTAATTGTGATAAAATACAAATAACACAAAATTGACCATCTTAACCACTTTTCAGTGCACAGGTCAGTAGTGTTAAGTATGTTCTATTGTTGTGCAACAGATAGCCAGAACTTTTTCGTCTTGCAAAACTGAAACTTTTTGGTATACCCATTACAACAATTTCCCTCCCTTCCCCCCCCCCCCCCCCTCCCACCCCCCGCCACCTGGCAACCACCAGTCTACTTTCTGTTTCTAAGAGCTTACTTCAGATACCTCATAGAAATGGGATCATGCAGTGTTTTTCTTTTTGTGGCTGGCTTATTTCACTTAGCATAATGTTCTCAAGGTTCATCTAGGGGGTAGCATGTGTCAGAATTTCATTCCTTTTTAAGGTTGAATAATATTCCGTCTGTAAATATACCACATTTTGTTTATCCGGTCACCTGTCAGTGGACACTTGAGTAGCTTCCACTTCTTGGCTATTGTGACTCATGCTCCAAATGAACATGGGTGTATAGAAATACGTTTTTATTCCTGAATTATTTCTTTAATTCAGTGTGTTATAACCAGTTACATCTTTATTCTTTTTTCAGTCGTGTTTTCTTTTTAGATAATTGTAGAGTAACAGGCCGTTGGGAGAAATAATAGAGATTCCGTGTACCTTTTAATGTAATTTCCCCCAGTGATAACATCTCATAAAACTATAGTACAGTGTGACATCCAGGATATTGCTGTTGATACAATCGTCTGATCTTAGCCAGATTTCCTCAGTTGGATTCTCGTTTGTGTGTGATTAGTTCTATGTAATTTTATAATGGTTCATGCGCCCACCACCAGTGAAGATACAAATTAGTTCCCTCACCACAAGGATCTTCGTGTCCTGCTGCTGCCTGTGTCCTCATGTTGCCCTTTTATAACTACACCCGTTTCCCTCTCACCATCTCCCATCCCGTCCCTAAGCCCTGGGAACCGCTAACCTGTTCTCCAGTTATATAATTTTGTCATTTCAAAGTGTTATATGAATGAAGCCATCCATTATGTAACCTGTTGGGCTTGGCTTTTTCCTCTCAGCATAGTTCTTTGGAGATGCATCAATGTTGTTGTGTGTGTCAGTAGTCCGTTCCTTTTCGTGCTAGGTAGTAGTCCGTGGTATGGATGTACCAGGGTTTAACCATTCACCTGCTGAAGGACATTTGGGTTCTTTCTAGTTGTTGGCAGTTGCAAATACACAACTATGAACATCCATATACAGTTTTTGTGTAAATATAAGTTTACATTTCTCTGGGATAAATGACTGAGAGTGCATTTACTAGGTTATGGTAATTGCGTGTTTGGTTTTGTAAGAAACTGTCAAACTGTTTTCCACAGTATATGAGTGATCCAGATTCTCTGCATCCTTGCCAGCATTTGGTGTTGTCACTATTTTTTTTTTGGTTATTCTGATAGGTGCGTAGTATAGAAATACTTTCTTTTTAATTGAAGTTAAAAAAAAAAAAAGATAAAATTTGCCATCCGAACTGTTTTTAAGCACACATTAACAGAAGTGTTAAGTGTATGGACCTTGTCACAAGCTTTTTCCAGAACTTCTTCATCTTGCAAAACTGAAACTCTACAGTGTACCCATTAAGCAACAATTTCTCATTTCTCCCTCCGCCCCAGCCCCTAGCAACTACCCTCCTACTCTCTGTTTCTGTTTGACTACTTTCTGTTTCTGTTAGCCATTTTTAAGTGTACCGTATCAGTAGTGTTAACTGTATGCACCTTCTTAGGAAGTTTTTCCAGAACATTCTCATCTTGCAAAACAAGCTCTATGGTTTACCCATTAAGCAACAGTTCCCCACGAGCATCCACCCCCAGACGCTAGCAACCGCCATTCTACTTTCTGTTTCTGTTTGCCTACTTCAGGTGCTTCATGTAAGTTCAATCATGCAATATTTTTCTTTTTGTGACAAGCTTATTTGACTTAGCATAGTGTTCTCAAAGTTCATCCATGTTATAGCATATGACAAGATTTCCTCCTTTTTTAAGGCTGAATAATATTCCATTGTATGTATATACCACATTTTCTTTATCCATTTATCCACCCACCCCTTGGCTTTTGTGAATAATGAACATGGGTGTGCAGATATTTTTTCAAGATCCTGTTTTCAGTTCTTTTGGATATATACTGAGAAGTTGGGTTGCTGGACCAAAAGGTAGTTCTATTTGTAAGTTTTTGAGGAACCTCTGCACTGTTTTCCATCACAGCAGCCCCATTTTACAGTCCCACAAACAGTGCGCAAGGGTTCCAGTTTCTCCACATTCTCACCAACGCTTGTCGTTTTCTGTTTTGTTGATAGTGGCTATCCTAATATGTATGAAATGATATCTCATTGTGGTTTTGATTTGCATTTTCCTGATGTTCAGTGATGTTGAGCACTTTTTCATATGCTTGTTGGCTGTTTATACGTCTTTGGAGAAGTGGGTTTTCAAGTCATTTGCCCATTTTTTAATTGAGTTATGTTGTTGAGTTGTAGGAGTTCTTTATGTATTCTGGATATTACCCCTTATCCCAGACGTGGTTTGAAAATATTTTCTTCCATTCTATAGGTCACCTTTTCACTCTGTTGATTGTTTCCTTTGCTGCACAGAAGGTTTTTGTTTTTTTGTTTTTGTTTTTTTTCACTGTGGAAGATTAGTCCTGAGCTAACGTCAATGCCAGTCTTCCTCTATTTTGTATGTGGGTTGCCACCACAACATGCCTGACGAGTGGTGTAGGTCCACGCCTGGGATCCGAACCCATGAACCCAGGACACTGAAGCAGAGCACGTGGAAGTTTAACCACTGTGCTGGGGGCTGGCCCCTGCACAGAAGATTTTAAGTTTGAAGTAGTCCCATTTGTCTTTCTTTTGTTGCCTATGCTTTGGGTGTCAAATCCAAGAATTTGTTGCCAATACCAATGTCTTGAAGTTTTTCTCCTATATTTTCTTCTGAGAGTTTTATAGTTTCAAATTGTACATTTAGGTTTTTAATCCATTCTGAGTTAATTTTTGTATATAGTGTAAGGTAAGGGTCCAACTTCACCCTTTTGCATGTGGCTATCCAATTTTCTCAGCACTGTTTGTTGAAGAGAGCTTCCCTTCCCCATTGTGTAGCCTTGACACCCTTGTTGAAGATCATTGACCGTTTATGAGATGGTTTGTTTCCAGGTTCTCTATTCTGTTCCATTGGTCTGTATGTCTGTCTTTATGCCAGTACTATACTATTTTGGTTACTGTAACTGTGTAGTATGTTTTATAATCAGGAAGTGTGAGGCCTTCAACTTTGGTTTGCTTTCTTAAGACTGTTTTGGCTATTTGGAGTCCTTTGATATTCCATATGAAGCTTAGGATGAGTTTTTCTATTTCTGCAAGAAATGCCATTGGGAATTTGTTAGGGATTGCATTGACTCTGTAGATTGCTTCAGAGTCATTTTAATAGTATTAAATCTTCCAGTCCATGAGCATGGGATGTCTTTCCATTTATTTGTATCGTCTTCAAATTCTTTCAACAATGTTTTGTAGTTTTCAGTGTACAAATATTTCGCCTTTTTGATTAAGGTTATTCCTAAGTGTTTTACTCTTTTTGATGCTGTTGTAAATGGGGTTGTTTCCTTAATTTCCTCTTCAGATTGTTCATTGTTAGTATGTAGAAATGCAACTGATTTTTGTGTGTTGGTTTCATATCCTGCAACTTTGCTGAAATTTGTTTATTAGTTCTAATAGGGTTTTTTGATGGAATCTTTAGGGTTTTCTACATATAAGATCATGTCATCTGTGAACAAAGATAATTTTTCTTCTTCCTTTCCAATTTGGATGCCTTTTATTTCTTTTTCTTATCTAATTGCTCTAGCTAGGATTTCCAGTACTGTGTTGAATAGAAGTGGCAAGAGAGGGCATCCCTGTCTTGTTCCTGAGCTGGGAGCAAAAAGCTTTCAATTTTTCACCAGTGAGTATGATGTTAGCTGTGGGCTTTTGGTATATGGCCTTCATTATGTGGAGGTAATTGCCTTCTACTCCCGTCTGTTGAGAGTCTTTGTCATGAAAGGGTGTTGAATTTTGTCAAATACTTTTTCTGTATCGATTGAGATGATCTGGTGGCATTTGTCCTTCATTCTGTTATTGTGATGTATTACATTGTATTTCATATGTTGAACTATCCTTGCATTCCAGAAATACATACCACTTGGTCATGATGTATAATCTTTTAAATATGTTGTTGAATTCTGTTTGCTTGTATTTTGTTGAGGACTTTTGCATCAATAATCATCAAGAATACTAGTCTGTAGTTTTCTTGTAGTAGCTTTGTCTGATTTTGGTATCAGGGTAATGCTGGCCTCATAAAATGAGTTTGGAAGTGTTCCCTCCTCTTCAGTGTTTTGGAAGAGTGTGAGGACTGGTGTTCATTCTTCTTTAAATGTTTGGTAGAATGCTCCAGTGAAGTCATCTTGTCCTGGGCTCTTGGATGGGAGGTTTTTGATTATTGATTCAATCTCCTTACTAGCTATGTGTTTGTTCAGATTTTTTTATTTCTTCATGATTCAGTCTTGGTAGGTTGTATGTTTCTATAAATTTATGTATTTCTTCTAGGTTACCCAACTTGTCAGTATATAATTGTTCATAGTCATCTTTTATCGTGCTTTTTATTTCTGTGGCATCAGTTGTAATGTCTCCTCCTTCACTTCTGATTTTGTCTTCTCTTTTTCTTAGTCTATCTAAGGATTTGTCAATTTTGTTGATCTTTACAAAAAACAACTCTTAGCCTTGTTTATTTTTTATTACTTTCAATTAAAAGGACGTTTTAAATTATAGTATCCTACTGTGCCGAGGCAGAGTAGGGGTCTAACAGCTGCCCTGGCAGAATGCTGCTGCTGCACAGTCACTATGGGTCTGCTGTCCAGCCATGAGGGAGCCAAACTGGGAGACTGGACTCTCTGCTCCCTGATGCGAGGAACCAGTTTCTTTGTTTGGGTCAGCATTATAGTTTATGAAAAACTGGATGGCTGGCTTTGGCTGCTTACTTGTTGGTTAGTGCAAATGTCTCATATAATTATTCCTCCAGTTGTTAGCAGGCAGGGAGGGAGGGGCTGAAGTATTCCGGTCATTGGATCAAACAGCAGGAAAAGACTGGGGTTGGCTGTAAAAATTTCCACGTCTCTTGATATCACCTGTGGATGTGGCCAGTGTCAGGCAGTTAAGCTGACCACATACCTGAGGTTTAGGGGAAAATATTTCCTGTTTTTTTTCTTTTGTTGAGACATTTCCAGTATTTTTTTAAGCCTAGGAACAGGCTGCAAGCTGACCATGCCATCTTAGATATTCAAAATGGCATATGCCAAACTGTGTGTATTTGTTGGTGTGCTAATGAGCAAATGAAACACACCTTTCAAAATCCTTTAGGACACCTAGTTTGATTTCTTTCTTTTTTATTTTGCTATAGACAAAAAATAGGACCTAAAATTTGTAAGGAAACCATCAACAAATTTCATTCTCATATGAAAGAAGAACTCATCAAACTGGTAAGTTCATTGACATAAATTTGGTGGTCTAAATTTTTTTTAATAATCCTGAGGCAGCATCTTAGAAAAGCTTGCATTTGCTGGTAATGTGGTGAAGCTCTCATTAGAATGATCCATATTTCACATGTTTTTAAACTAAATGTGATATATTGTAAACTATAAACGTTTAATTTTGGAAAATGCATATGAATAATTATTTTTGTTTTGTGTAGCTTAAAGAAGTCCAGATGTTGAAGACTCTGAAAAGGAAGAACGCTAAGGTAAATCACTTACGATTAGGAGCTTATAGTTGTTAGAACACTGACAGACATAGAGTTAAGTAAATTGACTCTGGGTTTTATGACCTTCAGAGTTTGTGTAAGATTTCTTATTTTTAGTTAGGCTTTTATTTGGTTGATCTTGTGGTTGAATACTGATAATGTAGTCAAAGGAATGAGGATCCTAGTCAGCCTAAAAATGGCTCTCAAGCCCAAAATGACCACTTATATGGATAAGGATTAAGTAATATATATTTATTGCTTTTGTGGATGTCAAAAAGCAAAACCTTTTAGAAGAAATAACTGTCTCAGGTAAAAGGACAGTCTGGGAACAACACTAGATTAAGGGTCAGGAGACCTCATTTCTTGTCCTGGTTCTGCTATGTCAATGTTGTACCACCTTTTTGAAAACTGCACACGACTCGATGTGCAACCAGGAACAAGCTGGTCAACACTAGGCGCTGCCTCCCCATCTGTCTGTGGTTGGACCAAGTGACCTCTGAGGTTCCAGCCCTAAACTGACATGAATCTAGGAGAAGAGCAGCACCCTCTCTACATTTATAATAGAAATAGACTTGAAACACACACATTTTCCTTCAAAGCCTTTCTTTGTGTGAGTTTTAATCTCTTACTGGTCAATGCTGCGTTGCCTGTAAGTAAGTGATTACAGTCTGAATGTCCAGCAGTGGAATATTAGGTAGTCATTAAAAGTGATGCTGATAATAAAATTTATTATATTGAAATGCTCGTTTTTAAAATGCAAACTGTATGATGACACTCCCCCGCTTCAACATTTTCCTAGTGTACCTAGGTAAAATGGAAACTCCTTACTTTATAGCTCACAGGGTAGTAAAGGTCTGGTCCCCACTTCCTCTTCCAAGTTATCCTGGAGTAGAAACCGCTGCCCTTCTTTTTCCGAGTTCCCCGTTCTTTTCCTACATGGCACACATGATGAGCTGTAATTCCGTATTGTGTGTGTGTCGTATCTGGCTTCCCTAGTAGACCAAAGTTCCGTGATGGTAAGAAGGGGGTCTGTCTTGTTTCTCACTGTATTTCCACCACGTGGCACAGTGTACCTGGCAGTGCTCAAACATGTACAAAATCAATTTAACAAACTATTGCGTTACTTAGGTGATTTCAGATATTGAAAAGAAAAGGCAGCGTTTGATTGAAGTCCAGGATGAGCTGCTCCGGTAAGACATCAGCATCCTCTGAGAACTCAGCCGTAAGGATTTATTTACAACGTCACGTGGGGCTAGTAGAACTTGCTGCTGTGTTGAATTAAGATCCAGGTTTTCTTTGAGCTTGGAAGCTCAGTGAAGGTAGGGTGTGCTGCCAAGTTGGAGAAGCTTTCAGCACAGGAGAATTCAGCACTCACCTATCTGCCATCAGATCCCTCAGCTCTGGCCTGAGAGGCAGCCTAATGAGAGATTTAGTGCATACACTCCAGAACTAGACTACCTGGGTTTGAATCCAGGCTCTGCCACTTACTGGCTGTGCAACCTTGGGCAGGTTACTTGACCTCCCAGGGTCTCAGTTCCCTCATTTGTAAATGAGTGTAATATTACCTACACCTCACAGGGTGTTGTGAGAATTAAATGAATAAATATACAGAAAGTGCTGCATAGGGACTGGCATACAGTAAGTGCTGTGTCAGTGCTAAGTTCTTGTTAACGTTGTTATTGTTGAAATACAGACCTTGGTGGGGCACTCTTATGAGTCCATCCCCCAGTGTTGGACCAGGAGGACTTTGCTGGGGGGTCGCCGTGGTCTGCTCAGGAAGACTGGAGCATGCTGCATCAGCGCTCAACCAACCAGTGTTTTCTGGTGCTCTGCTAGACAGTCAGGATCCTGTGTGAGCTGGAGGGTTGGCAGTGAAGCAGTGGGAGGATAGGCTGTAGCAGATATGCTCTCTGCTCTTAAGGAGCTTTAAAGTAGCTTGAGAAAGTGGTATTATCAGAAAAGACAGCCTGTAATTAAGTACTGTTTTAAAGAAGAAACTGCCACAGAACTTCAGAAGAGGGAGAAATTGGTTGTCTAGTCCACTGGTTTCCAAATCTAGTCTATGGACAAGTGCTGGCCCAAGATAAAGCTTTCACTGGCCAGGCAAAAACAAGAATGTTAAAGATACTATAATAATGATGGCTAATGCTTAAAAAGCTTCCTGTGTGTGCTGGGCACTGTCCTAAATGCTTTATATATTAACTCGTTGGTCATCATAATCCTGTGAGGTAGGTTACTATGGCTACATAATAAGACTCAGACATGTCTTAAAGATGAGCCTCTTTTGTTCCTTTTCTAGATATAATTTTAGAAGTTGAGAAGTATATTTTGAAAAGGCATGGGAAAAAAAATGTGGTATATCATTATTTTAACTTTACATGTGGAAAACCTACGCATGGGGAGGTAATTGCCCAGTCACCCTCTGGGAAGTGGGGGCGAGGCTCTGATGCCTGCACTCCTGACCGCAACCCTGGCAAAGAGGAGGGAGTTTACAGAACGCTGCCTTTGTTCAGCGTACAAATCATGTTAGGGATGCTTGCTTTTTACGTCTTTATTTGTGAGAATAAAAAATTGGCACCTCTCCCCCTCCTTTTATTCACTGGCCCATAAAATCCAAAGTGTCCCTTGTCATTTTACAGTTACAAAACGAAGCCACTGAGAGGAAGCAGTGTGCCCAAGGTCACACATCTTTCCTCCAGGCACTGTGGCAGTTTTCCACTCGTTTTACTGGATCTTGGAAATGGGCAAGATTTTGAGAAGAGGCAGGGGAAAAGGGGAGGCTTTTTGTCCCTGCTTTTGCTGTTCAACTGCAATGCCTGGGTATTCCTGCCAGAAGCTCTAAAATGTCAACTAAGCGTATGTTCTAATTCAGTAGTTCCCAAGACCCTAACAATGACTTGATGAATTTTAGGATGTGGAAGGCAGGCATGGTCCTCTGTGGGTTTCACTGCTAATTACTCATCGTATATTGTATTTCAGAGGTTTTTTTCTATATTTTAAATTGAAACGTAGACTCTTTCATACGTTTGTAATGTCATAGCCAAAGATATCTTAAGCCATCTACTCCACGTCCCCCATTGTTTCTTCTTTCACTCAGTGTACTTAGTCTCATACGCTGCAGGCTGTTACCGTTTATTATATGTCATTTATTTTGGGGAAAAATATTTTTTTGTTTATTTTCAGGTTAGAACCACAGCTGAAACAACTACAAATAAAATATGATGAACTTAAGGAGAGAAAATCTTCGCTGAGGAATGCAGAATATTTCTTATCTAATTTAAAACAGCTTCATCAAGATTATTCCAATATTCGACAGAAAGAACCGAATGTAAAGGAAACGGTAACTTTGGGTTTTACTTTTCTCACCGTCCTTCAGAAGATAGAGGGCGTTTGCATGCTAGAGGACCAGAAGCTTTGAGGAGAAAGAGAAAGATATGTAGATGCAACATTAGTTTACCCAGAACAGCATCACATAAATTGGTGAAAATTTGTTATATCATCACTTCTTTAGCTACTTAAGGCTGGAGGAGTAGAGAAAAATCCAGAAACATTGATTTTTATTAAGGTATTTATGCTTCAGAGAACTGCATTTCATCAAGGGAAGGAAATCCTCTGTGTACAAATCTCAAGTGAGCAATGATGCTTTACTTATTAAAATTGTCATCAACATAAGACTGCTCAGACATGTTTTACAGAGACCAAGCTCTTTTGTTCTTTGTTCAGCCCATGTTTGTAGTATCTTTTGTATCTTAAAAACAAGCCATTATTCCATATAAATAGTAGGTGTATTTTTTTTATTTTTTTATTTTTGGTGAGGAAGATTGGCCCTGAGCGAACATCTGTGCCAATCTTCCTCTATTTTGTATGTGGGACGCCACCAGGACATGAGTTGATGAGTGGTGTATGGGTCCATGCCCAGGATTTGAACCTGAGAACCCCAAGCTGCCCAAGTGGAGTGTGCAAACTTAACCACTACATCATCGGGCTGGCCCATAGGTGTAATTTTAGAAGCTGAGAAACATAAAAAGGGCATATAGTAGGGAAAAGTGTAGTATGTTACTGTTTTAATAAATTTTGTAGTTGCTTCTGGATTTTTGCTGCAGACTTTGCTACTGTTATGATAACCAGCTCAGATTAATAGAAATGTTTAAGTTACAGAAAAAAACATAATTTGTATTCCCTAATATAATTTTATATAAAATGTATAATTATGATCACACTTGTATTTTTTACTTCTAAATTCAATTTTAAGGTTTTGACACTGATCTAAAAGTTAATTCTCCTGAGCCTAAGGTTTGTTCATATATTACAGATCTGGAAATAGAATGTTTTTAATTACCTTTTTCTGTGACAGTACCCAACTAGTCTAAAGCTTATGTGGAGTTGGGGATTTGGTTACTAAACTTGGAGAAATTAGTGGTAGCACTGATTGAATGTGAACAGCCTAACTTGGGTGAAAACTTGCTATAGTGACTCTGCATTGTTTGGAACGCGCTGCTCTTACTAACATCCCATCCTGCGCGTGCCCTCGGTGCCTTTCGTACTTCCATGGCAGCATCTATCCTTGATGCTTTATAGAGTGCAGATATTTGGGTATCAGTCTTACCTCTTTCCCCAAACTAAAAATCTAGCAGCAATTGTAAGTTCTTCCCCTCACCCGTCCCTGAGAGCATGTGCCCCTGGCAGCTGGAACACTGGGCTCTCCAATATCTTTTGAACTGAATTCCATAGTAATGTGGTAGCTTCTATCCCAAAAGAATTCCATTATTAGGTGGGTGGTAGTCGTAGTCTGACAGCTTTTCTGTTTAATTTTCATTTCTAAGAAAACAACCTTGGAAACATTAAACTATCATAAGTATGATAAAATTCTGTAAGGGGAATTCAGTCACTCACCCTTAGACACAGTTTGCAATACGAAGTTTGGCTTTGTTAATTTTTCAAAATCATGAGTAGGGTTTTGTTTTCTATTTTATGTTGGGTTTGTATCTAATTTTGTCTTTAATCATTAAGAACATTTGGATTGGCAACTTTTAAGACATTTAGTCAATCTTCCCAATAAATAATTTTTCTAGATAGATTTTTTTTTTCTCATGAACTTTTATGGACCTGGTGTTCTCATTTTGTCAGTTTTTGCAGTGAAAGTGAATGTCTCACAGTTTTCTGTGTTTAAAATAGGCATGAGATCGAGCAGGCCCCACAGAGCTCTAGTGCACTTGCCCAAACCAAGTCTTGACCTGTCCCAAGAATGATTCTGTTTTAAATAATTCAGATGCCACAGTTCTTTAAACCAGCTGGTCTTCTGGGATGAGATCAGCTCAAGCTTTGCAGAGCAGTTCCTGTGCAACGTTATTTATCAAAGGAAATGGATAAAAACCAATTTTCTTAATAGTCCTAGTTGCCAAAATGAAGAGTAGTTTATGAAAAGCTCTATTAAAATTGGCATTTTGTCATAACATTGAGCTATGTAAAATAGATTATAAAAGTTTTTGATATTTGTTAACTTAAATTATTTTCCTTCAACAGTATGATTCATCCAGCCTTCCAGCCCTGTTATTCAAAGCAAGAACCCTTTTGGGAGCTGAAAACCACCTGCAAAATATCAACCGTCAATTAGAGAAGCTGCTTGACTAGGAATGAGGCCAGTCTACGAAAATGCACCTTCATAAAGATCGGCCTCATGCTACTATCTGTTGCCTTCTGAAACTATACTTTTATAAATATTCTTTTTGAAAAATTAAAAGGGAAGATATATGTTTTTACTTCATTTTTCCACCAAGAAGATTGGGAGGAAAACCCCAAACTTTATTACTGTTAATTTGAGTTGAGCATTTTTTTTTTAATATCTGAGAATGTTGCCATAACAATAAAAAGTAAACTTGTCTAATGGTTCAGAGTGGTTGTATGGCCTTGTCACCATTTTAATATTTAATATTACTTTGCCATTCAAATTAAGTGAGTGAACAATGTTAAGTGGCATCAGTTTGATTGTATAGTAGTTTTAGAGGCCATAATTAAATTGTTAGTGTCTTGAATAATAAGTTTTAAAATACTGACACCTGGGGCCGGCCCCGTGGCTGAGTGGTTAAGTTTGTGCGCTCCACTTCAGCAGTCCAGGGTTTCACCGGTTCGGATCCTGGGTGCAGACATGGCACCACTCATCATCCCACATGCCACAACTAGAAGGACCCACAACTAAAAAAAAATATATATATATATATATACACACACACACACACACACACACACACAACTATGTACCAGGGGCTTTGGGGAGAAAAAGGAAAAATAAAAAATAAATGTTGACACCTAATCAGCCCCAGACATATAAAAGAGTTCTAACCTGTAAATAAACATGCAAAACTAAGTTGATGCAAACATAGACTAACTTTGGTTAACCAATAAGGAGATTTCTACTGAGTTTAAATACACGAAAGCCAATTTTCAGTAAAACTGGTTTACTTCAATAAACAAGAATTGGAAAGCAAAGTGATAAAATTTAGTTGACACAAATAGTTTAAAAGCTACTGTGTCTGTTGTTAAATCTGCCTTCAGGCAAATCACAGGCTTGTCGTGCGAGTGTCCACAGTTAATCAGCTACTCTCCTAACACTTCTAGAATTAGTTCATCGGGAATTTCATCCGCTCCACGGTTAGAACCGAGCAGCCCATCCTCTGCAGCTTCTGCCAGCTCAGCATCTTCAGTAGCTTCCAAAAAATAAGCATCCTCAATGCCATCACCCCAGTCGGCATGAGAAGCTACACCTTTTGACAAGGTGCTAGACGGTGGCTTACGAGGCGTCTCAGTCTCACTGTGGGTTGTCGCTTCATCTGTTGTCAACGCCTCTTCCTTTAGTTCCAAAGGGGAGGGTGAGGGAGAATGGGATGGAAAGAAAACACCGGGTATCAGTCCGAATATGTGATGATTTCACCACCGTCAATCTGCGTGGAATTAAGGTATTTAAGTATACGACCAGTTCTTTGACAGACATTAAAATGAATCTGCTGGGTGATACTGTCTCCAGTATAGTGACCATGAAAATGAGTTCATTGATTCAGTGCTGCTGCCATCGTAGCTCAGACGCTGCTGAAACTCCAAATTTGGAAATGCCTGCAGTTCCTGTGGTACATTCTTTTCAAAATATACAAGACCTACAACTAGAATATACAACTGTATACTGGGAGACTGTGGGGAGAAGGAAAAAAAGAAGATTGGCAACAGATGTTAGCTCAGGTGCCAGTCTTAAAAAAATACAGATGGAGTTAGAGCAAGGGTAGACTGAATTTTTTAAAAAGTAGATCCAGCTGAAGGCAAAGTGGGAAATATATCTGCTACATTAACAACAGACTTATTTCCCTATTAAGTATGTAAAAAAATTAAGAACTTGGGTTGAAAAATTCTCATTCTCCAGCTGCACACCTAAACATTCAGAGATGAAGGGTTTTAATGTCTGCAACTTACCTTTCAAGAGATTTGTTATAGACTGAATGTTTCTGTCCTGCCCCCCAGAAATTCCTCAGTTGAAATCCTAACCCCCAATGTGCTGGTATTAGGAGGTGAGGCCTTTGGGAGGTGAACAGGGCATGAGGGTGGAGCCCTCATGAATGGGATTAGTGCCTTTATACTAGAGACCCCCAAGAGCTCTCTCGTCCCTTCTGCCCTGTGAGGGCACAGCGAGAAGGAAGCTGGCTCTCACCAGACACCAAATCTGCCAGGACCTTGATCTCGGCCTTTCCAGACTCCAGAAGCGTGAAAAATAAATTTCTGTTGTTTCTAAGCCACCCTGTCTATGGCCTTCCGTTATAGCAGCCCAAAATTACTAAGCAAGAGTCATCAAAAATTACACAGATAGCAGTAGAGGGAGAAAACACGGGGGGCCAGATGTTAACAAACGGCAAGTCTAGGTGACGGGCATACAGGAGACTTCCTTGTTCTTGTGCAACATTTCTGTTTCAAACGAACAAGGATGACGTTCCTCCTCCTCTTAGAAGCAAAGTTTATTTTTAAAAATTTACTTTGTTATTGGTTATTTCAAAACACTTTTTAACCTAGTAGCTTCCCAGAGAACTTGGCTATCAGCTATTTTATGTCCAGCTCCTACAGACCACAAATCAGATTTCTACCATTTCTATCTTGGATGTATGAGTTTTTTCAGGAGAAATTTCATTTTCTTTTTTTTTTTGGTGAGGAAGATTGACCCTGAGCTAACATCTGTTGCCAATCTTCCTCTTTTTGTACGTGGGATGCTCCACAGCATGGCATGATGAGCAGTGTGTAGGCCCACGACCAGGGTCTGAACAGCGAACCGCAGGCTGCCGAAGCAGAGCGCGTGAACCCAACCACGGCCACCGGGCCAGCCCCTCAGAATTTGTTAAATCAGATTGAATAGGTACCAGACCATTATCTAGAATGTAAACTCAAGCACTTACTCAGCTTGCAGCAGGTAACTGACTAGAACACGATAAAGGAAAAGGCTGACAGATGTAGGGGAAGAAAACACTAAAAAGTCTAGGAAATAACACAAGAGTATTTAATAAAAAATTCTTATAAAACATTAATAAGATCTCATAGAAAAGTAGAAAGAGGCCAGTTACAGGCAATTCATAAAGAAATACAAATAGTAAATCTGAAAAATGTTCAACTTCATTAATTAAGAAATGTAAATTAAAACAACTGAAATACCAATTTTTGCCTACCAGGTTGATAAAGAATAAAAGGTAAAAATAAGCAATGTTGGCAAACGCTGGGGTAATAAGTGTTCTCATATATTGTGAAGTCTCATTTCCTATCATTTTTATGGAGAGCAATTTGGTAATATATACTACTGAAAATATTTGTGATAATTTAGGGAAAAAAAGCCTGCGAAATACTGTGTATACTATGACTTTAGAAAAAAATATATATGTAAGCATACATAGACACAGATTCTGGAAAATATATGCCAAAACATTTACATTAGTTATCTCTGAGTGGTCAAATTATGAGTGAGGATGATTTTCACCCGTTCTGCTCATAATGTATTTAATTTTTTCCTACAATAAATGTGAATTATTTGGGTAAATAAAAGTTTTTAAAAGAAAAATGTTGGTTTGGCAATCTGGTAATATCTACCCAAACTAAAAATGCATATACCCTTTGACACAATTCTACTTCTAGAAATTGAAATCGGGACACATTTGGACACTACCCATAGCTCATTTATAGTATTGTACCAAGGATAAGTAACGAGAAAGAAACTGAAAACTGGGCTTACATCTTTGATAAGAAACTGGAGACATACTTCAGCAGGTAATGGAAAACCTGAATCAGAAAGACAGTAAAATTATTTTATTATAGATACCTCATTTTCACTTTGTGGTAAAAGTAAAAACTAATAACTCACAGGCAGATTTGAAGTTTTCTGCTTTACATACAGGGTCATGACATTTTTGATACCAAACTTCATTTTTCAGGTCAACCAAAATCCTTTACATTAAAAAAAAGAAAGAAATTATTACTTAATACCAAGACTGGATAGAAAGCAAAATTCAGCTATAAGCCTTTTACAAGAGATACGCCTAAGAATTAAGGATGGAGAAGAGTTAAAAAGTAAAAGGATGGAATAGATCTACACCAACCAAAAGCAAGCCATGGCTGCCAAAAATATCACACAAAATGGACTTTAGGCCAAAAAGGACATATTGACAGAAGTTCCTCCGAGGAAGATACAATAATTCCCAATCTGTACCCACCACGATACTTCAAAATATGTGTGCAGATTGACAGAACTTCAAGGATAAACAAACCGTCTACCACAAATCAAGATTTTAAAGAACATTCTTTTGATAATTGATACAACAAATAACCACAAAAATCCAGTAAGGACAGAAAATTTGAATGACATAATTAAAAAGCAATTAAGAAAGCTGATATAATAGTCATATATGAATACTGCTTCAAATGGCGAGAAGCAGCCCTTTACACTCACATAGAAAACAATGATAAAAAGGGACTACGCTAGGTACAATGTGAATCTCATCAAATTTAACAGTATTTATTCACACAACACATTCTCTGACTAATAGCAAATTATTTAGAAACAAATAACAAGAAGATAGGTAATAGAAACCCATAGCTTGGAAATTAAAAACGTTTTAAAATAATCAATGTCTCAAGGAAAAATCATGATGAGAATTAGAAAATTGAATGGAATTGAAAATACATATTAAAATATGTGAAATAGCGCTAAAGTAATCTATAGAGGGAAATTTTAGAATCTTAAAAGCTTATCTACGAAAAGGAATGGCTAAAGCCAAGTGAGTTAAGTAACTAACTTGGAAAATGAACAACAGAATATAAAGGAAATAAAAGGCAGGAAGTAATAAAGAACAAAAATTAAAAAGAATTAACAAGGGCAAAATGTGAAAACTACCAAAATTCTTGCAAGATTGATCAAAAAATACAGACATATATGTTATTAGAAATTCAGTGCAGATATAACTACAAATACAGAATAGACTAAAAATAGAAGAAAATTATGAACTTTTGCCAGTAACATTGAAAATTCTGGTAAAAAAGACAAATTACTAGATAAAAATATAACAAACTAAGTCAACTTAGAAAGTTACAGAATTCCTAAACAATCCCATAAGCAATAAAAATAAAATTTTAAAAATTTGAGTAAGTAGTTTAAAACTTTCCCATAATTCACAGAAAAGGAAACATAACATGGCTAACATTCCTGTGGCAGCGGGACACGTACCCAGGAGAGAAAAATGCAGGCGACTCAGTCTAATCGCCTCATAAACTTATTCCAGTAACAGATTTATGGATAAACACGCTGATGCTGCAGTCCTCAAATGTATACCAAAGCGCCCAGGAGACTCCAGGATATTCACCTCTTTCCAGAAAAGCACAGTGACACTTGACCTCTGTCAAGCACCACGCAAACTACCGGCTGGCAGTTCACGACTTCAATATCACATGGCCTTTCCTTCCTCTCAGTGCTGTCCTACCTTTGCAGAGCTGGGCTGTTTTTGCTGGCAGCTGTGATAAAAAGTACCATAAACACCGATGTGGGGGTGGCAGTACCATAAACACGATGGTGGGGGTGGCAGTGTCCAATTCGATTGTTCCAAGGTTTAAGAGGTGAGGCAGTGCTCAAAAGGACACAGTCCACTAATACGTAACTGTATTTAAGAAGGGTCAAAAGGCACAAACTTCTGGTTTTAAAATAAGTAAGTCACAGGGGTGTAATGTACAGCGTGGTGACTATAGTTAATACTACTGTATTGCATATTGGAAGGTTGCTAATAGGAAATCTTAAAAGTTCTCATCACAAGAAAAACAATTTTGCAACTAGGTATGGTGAAGGATGTTAGCTAGATGTATTGTGATGAACATTTTGCAATATATACAAATATCAAATCATTATGTTGTACCCCTGAAACTAACATAATGTTATATGTCAATTATACCTCAATTAAAAAAGAATGAAATCGAGGCTGGCCAGTGGCGCAACGGTTAAGTGCGCACGTTCCACTTTGGTGGCCCCGGCCCGGTGTTCGCTGGTTTGGATCCTGGGTGCAGACACGGCACCGCTTGGCAAGCCATGCTGTGGTAGGCGTCCCACATACAAAGTAGAGGAAGATGGGCATGGATGTTAGCTCAGGGCCAGTCTTCCTCAGCAAAAAGAGGGGGAATGGCAGCAGATGTTAGCTCAGGGCTAATCTTCCTCAAAAAAAAAAAGAAAAAGAAAAAAGAAAGACAACTCATTCTTAATATTTAGGGACCGGCCCCGTGGCTGAGTGGTTAAGTTTGTGCGCTCTGCTTCAGCAGCCCAGAGTTTCGCCAGTTCGAATCCTGGGCACAGACATGGCACCACTCATCAGGCCACGCTGAGGTGGCATCCCACATGCCACAACTGGAGGGACCCACAACTAAAACTACACGACTACATACCAGGGGTCTTTGGGGAGAAAAAGGAAAAATAAAATTAAAAAAAAAAAAAAGAATGAAATAAAAATATTTTCTTTCAATTTATGAATATTTTTTCAAAGAGCTACTAAACTGTTAGAACATAAATACTTATTAAGTTGTTTGAAACTAATAAACAGAACATTAGGTATTTCTTTTGGCCTCATAACAAAGTGAAAAAACTACTAAGATACTAAAGTCACCATGAACTGAGAAGGTTGGGAACCACTGGACCAATGGTATTTTCTAGGCGGAGAGTCCTTCCCTATAGAATGCTCTTTGCAGGATTTTTCGGATTTCTGCATATAGTAAATAAATCTAGAGTCTATTTATTTATGAGGCATGTTCCAGTGGAAATGTCACCATGCTGGCTAACCATATGAGTATAAAATGCAGCTGTTTCGTAAGCTCAGTGCTCCCTGCTCTGTGCGGTGAGTGCTCACACCTCCCTCGGCTTTCACCCTGAGTCAAGAGAGCTTCGAGTGCAGGGAGGACCTGGGCAGCCGCGCCAGGTGGCTCGGGCCTCACTCCGCTTCACCTGTGCCTTTCGATTCCTCGTATCTTTAAAACTATTAGTAAGGCTTGACATTGGGTAAGATCTCTGATTTGTAAGAGTGTGGTCTGACAATCCAATCCTCAAATTCATTAGTAATTAGAGAAATTCAGATGAAAACTACAAAAAAAAAAGCTAACAATACTAAAGGGTTGGTGAGAATATGGAGCAGTAGAAAATCTGAAAACACTGCTGGTGGGAGTATAAGTTAGCATGACCTTTTGGGAAAATAATTTATCATCTAGTAAAATTAAATACATGCAGGTTTTACGACACAGCAATTCTACTTTTAGATATATACTTTGAGACACTCTTGCATATGTGCACTAGGCAATATGTACAAGAATATCTGTAGCTTTGCTGTTCATAATGGTAAGCCAAATGTCCATAGTAGGACAACAGATAAACTGGCATACATATATTGATATAATGGCCTACTATACAATCATGAAAACAGAATAAGCAAGAGCCAAATGCTGCAATATGGACGGACCTCACAAACACAATGCTGACCAAAAGCAAGTCAAAGGATGCAACTTACATCAGATTTAAAAACATACACAATGAAGCAATATATTATATGGGGATACAAATATATATGGAAAAAATCACAAAGAAAAGCAAGGGAAAGATTAACACAAAATCCAGGATAATAGCTATTATCTCTGAGGGCCAGAGAAAGGAAAAAATCGGTGTTGGGCCCACAAGGTGATCCCGAGGTTTAATGAAATTCTGTTTCTTAAGGCGGCTGGCAGATATGACAAGTGGTCACTCTAGAGTTAGCCTTTAAAATGTACACACACATTGTATACACTCTTTTATATGTACGATATATTTCACAGTTAAGAAAAATAGATTATGGACACATACTACAACCCGATAATTCTTCAGAAAGGAATAAACAGCAATGTGAGAATCACAAAAAGGTAAAAAATGATCATTGTACAATAATGATTTTTTTCGTAAACTTATATGCACAGAAAAGAAAAACTAGAAAGACACATCAAAATCATAACCATAGTCATAGTTATTACTGGTTCTGGGCCATCTTTGCCTTTGTGTGTTTCTATGTTGTAGCTTTGCGTACCGAGACTTTAGTTTTTGAAGTTTTTTAACTGAATTAATCTACATAGATAAGTCTAGCACTGAACCATGCTACCCTAAATGTTTTCCAGCTGTCTAGCAAAAGCTTCATGATCACCTTCTCATGTCTGGCACATGTGCTGTCTATGCTTGATATACAGAAGTCTCAGCTTTGACATTAAATATAAAACAGCAAAATTTCTCAATCGTAACTGATAACGGCTGAGTTTTTATTTTATCCCTATTCTAACCACATCCTTACATTATTTAAAATTCTATTTATGGTTTTACTTCATCTTTTACTTCTTCCCCTTTTGCCAGGGGCATTTTAAAGAAAACCCCTAAAACAAGGCCTGGCATATACAGTAAACAGTCAATACTGGTGGGTCCCTCCTATACCATTCTTTGTCTTCAACATGTTAACATAATCTTAACTCCAACTCTTAACACTAACTGTTAACTTGCCCAAATCTGCTCAAATTCAATTTTAGACTGCATAAGGTGTCAAGGGCTAATGGCAACAGATGAAGGAGAGATATACCTTCCACTATCATTGTTCATCCACCTGTCTACTGCCTCTCATTTCTTTTGACCAGGAAGATTAGCTAACTGCTGCCAATCCTCCTCTTTTTGCTGAGGAAGACTGGTCCTGAGCTAACATCCGTGCCCATCTTCCTCTACTTTATATGTGGGACGCCTACCACAACATGGCTTGCCAAGCGGTGCCATGTCCGCACCTGGGATCCAAACTGGCTAACCCCAGGCCGCCAAAGCGGAACGTGCACACTTAACCACTGCGCCACCAGGCTGGCCCCTGCCTCTCATTTCTTTCTAGCCCTACTCAATTCTACCTTAGCCTTCTCAAGATTATATTATCTGAGGGATTATTTTACCAAATAAAGTACAGATACAGATAATATGTGCTAGAAGCAAGGTAATAATTAAGATGCTCAAGTTAAATACTATAAAACACAAACCAAATATAATATAAATTGAATTACAACTAAATCCACTATAAAACTAAAATCACCTTTATATTCTCAACTTTATTTAAAAATTATAAATGTTTAAAATATAATATTGGTTAAATACCTAGAACTCATTATTAAACAATATTACTTACATGATATTATTACTCTTGTGAGCTCTTCCAATGTTTTCACACCAGCGATATTTACAAATATCATACACCAATAATTCTTCTAGGAAAAAGTAGTTCCAACGCCGAATTCCTAAAATGCAAATAATGTGTCTAAAAGTATTATTACTCTATCATCCAACACTTAATAAAGAATAAGATTATCTTTACCTCCTTTAATTCCATTTTTATTCACCAAAGAAAGAACAAATTGATCAATTTCAGGGTAGGGTGAACACTGAAAACCTTCAATGGCTTCTACTGCAACAGAGAGAAAAACTAATTATAAACTACAATGGCTAAAAGTTCAGGGGTTAAATTTTGATTAAGTTGTTAACACAATTTGCAATCCCCCAGATTTTTTTTTCCTTTTTGGCAATTTGCCTTTCATCTAGTCACGGATTCTTCTTTTTTTAAATTGAGGTATAATTGACATACATTATATTAGTTTCAGGTGTACAGCATGACTTGATATTTGTATATATTGTGGAATGATCACCACAATAAGTCTAGTAATCATAGATTCTTGTTACCCTACAAGGAAGTAGTGAAATTCAAACCTCTCAATTGAGTCAAATGTTAACCGATTTTCTTGAAAAGCATTTATAATCATTTCAACGGTTTTCTTCATTCTGACAAAGAGAGAAGCAGCCCCTGACACCTAGGAGCTGGCCTGGTACTGTCAGCGAGGCTTTGGTGTTGCTAGAAGCTGGCCGAGCACTCACAGCTCAGCCCTGGTGTTCTCCTGTCAATCGTAAACTATTTCACAGGACTTCAGCAGCAGAGAAGACCACTCTGTGGCCATGCTGATTCCAGACAAAAGCAAGACCACTCGGTAACCACGTGTGAACACAAACAAAACATGAACACTTCCCAAACCACAAAAATGACCAAACATCCCCATCCTACTACAAGTAACTGTTGCTTCTTTACCAACTATAGCTTTCGTCTTCTCCCTGTGGTCTGCCTTCCTTCTAGATGAGATTTATCAAGATACTCAATCACAGAATCGTCCCTGACAGCACACAATTCACAACAAAGGCACACTTCCTTGGACATTCCTCGAAAGCACCTAACCTAAGCCTGACTCCTGTAAGCTCTTTCTGACAGCCTTTTACTGTGATGCCCCACGGTGTCCTGCAGTGTGCGTCCTCCAACGCTGCAAGCAGTAATAAACGCAGCTTGCTCACTACAGGTGTGTTCTCCGGTGATCTTTAGCTGTAGGGCACTGACAATTCAGTTATATTTTGTATCTAAGAATCTACTGAAATAATTTAGGATAATTTATTCAAAATCTCATCTAATTTTTAAAGACAGAATAATCTAGTTCTTAAAGCCTGTATTTCACTTATAAAAGGAATATACATAATTGGAGAAATTTTGGAAAATATATTAAAGCAGAAATAAGAGAAACTCCAAATCAATGTCTAGAAAAAACTGCTAAACATCTAGAAGAAATAAACTTAAGAAAATATGTTATCCATATTTTTTAATAAAACTTGTGATCTTACCTCATTTATAATTTGAGTCTACCTTTTCTCTTAACATCATGAATGAACATTTTCCATATTATACAGCCTTTATAAACAAATTAAACGGTTACAGAGTATTCTGATGTAATTGATATAACCAATCCCATTTTATTGTACATTTAAATTGTTTTCAGTTTTTCACTATTATAGATAATGATAGCCCAAAATATGTGTATAAAAATGTTTGCTGGAGAATTTATGGAAATCTTAGAAAAAACCTGAATTTTCCTCGGCATAGAAATGAAGGACATAGGATTTCATGAAAAACTATGCAACCATTAAAAGAATAAGGAAGCTCTGCATATATTGGAAAAACAGAAAAAGCTCTGCCAGTCTAAATAGGGAACTATTAACAGTGGTTACTCATCTTTGATTGTGGACAAAGGGGCGAAGAAAACTTCTGGTTTTTTTATTTTAATATGTGTTTATTTTATATAAACAATCTACATTATTTTCATATTTTTTTCAAAAACACCATAAAATGAAAATTTGTGAATAAGCTTTAAAAAATATCTTTTTTTACACTTTTTCCATTTTGGATAGAAACCTACTTGTTTTAAAGGTTCAGTAGATATGAATACTTAAGATTTAAGATTTTTAAGGCAAAATAGATTTTATATCCTTAAATGTTCATAGGAAATTATTTTCTTAAAATTACCTGAAGTGCTGGTACCGTTAAAATACTCAACTCGTTTTTGTTCATTCCGAGATATGTCACATGTAAGAATTCGTAAAGTATCTGAGAATCTGAAAAAGAAAATATGCACAACAAAGTAACATTATATTAGAATTAAAGAGACACGCCTACACAAAGACTGAATTTCAAATAGTTCCATATGAAAATCCTTTGTTCAACAGCTAATTTTCTAGGACATCTATGCCACATTTGCCTACAAAAGCACCAACCCTATATAAAAAAAGAGCAGTTTGGTGAACATTTAAAATCCCTTTCCTCAACTACAAAGTGAATCAGAGGACTCTAGGACCGCTGCAGCTGCAGAATAAAGTATAATTCTATTCCCCAAACGCACAGAGCTTTTGAAATTTTTGTTACAATGATTTTAAAAGTGTGAATAATAGGAAGAAAAAAGAAGAAAAGATCGATGAAAGCAAAGGGGAAAATGGATTCAAATTAATTGAAAGAAAAGATATCATTCATAAGCATAAAGAATTTAGCCTTTATTTCAGGAAGAAAAATACCTGATATTTACTTGGATACACAAAGGACAATTACGGTAACCCTATTCAGTAGAACTCACCACTTCCGTGAGATTATATGGAAACTACAAAAGAAGTGGGATTTGGTAATCGGGAGATTACCTGGACTTCGGGCCGTATTACACGCCAACTGGGTTGCTTTTCCCACACACGATAGAACATGATCCTGTTTTGGTGCCAACAACAGCGGGCACCAACAGTCATACGATTTCTCCACTACTACACACTACTTCTGGAATCCCAGCAGCCACTACGAACATTAACTGCTTAGCTAACTAACTGGTGTTTACAAAACAAATACCACGTGCCAAGCACAGTTGTCAATGTACCTGTACAGTTTTAACTTACTTAACCCTCACAACAACTCCCTCAGATAGATGTTAATATTATTTCCATTTTAAAGGTAAGGAAACTAAGACTTTGATGTTACTTCTGAGATACGCTATGAAAGAAATCAAAAAGCCCAGAAATACAGGGAAAAACAACCCATCTTCCCACCCTCCTGGGTCACCGCTGTCCAGTGGGCGTCTGAACACAACTTTCCCTACAGCGATGCATTTTAAATATTTTTATTAAAATTCATTCCTATGAAATTTCTCTTTAAAATTATATCTAGGGAAGACAAAGGGAGAAGAATTAGAGCAAGTTAATTTAGCAAGGCCGTTTAGTATGATCCTTAACCGCAGGTTTTAGACTAACAATAATTGCCAGCCCAGAATGAAGGGAAATATTTCTCTTGAAGGATGCCTTTCACACTTCGTAAAAATGACTGAAACAAGAAAATCTAAATGTTCAAAAACAGAACTGACAAAAAATTAGAGTATATCGATATAATGGAAAGCTATATAGGCATTAAAAGTTTTATTTACAATTAACTGTTGGCAAGTTATTAACTTGGCAAATATTCATGATATAATATTGAATGGATTAAACAAGTGACATAACCATATAAATAATGATCTTAAATATTTTTTGAATGAAGGTCCTATGTAAATTATATGTACATAAGTACATACATAAAAAGAAAATGAGATGTTTCCAAATGCAATATAAGTAGTTTTATTCTTTATAGAATTGATAATCATTTTAGGAAAACTAGAAAATATATAAAAATGTAACTGTAAAAGGATATAGAAAGAAAACTAAGCAGTTAAAAAAAACTTTCACTATCATTTTTCAGTTAATAGACAAAAGAGAACAGTTAATCTGGAATTTTAAGAACTTTCTTTTTCTTAAGGTAGAATGAATTTACACAATTCACATTTTAATACTATACAATGCCATTCACTGCTTCATAAACATTCATGAATAGACAATGGTTTAATTCTGGTAGTATATACCTGACATTGCTGACCAAAGAAGAGAGGAAATACTGATATTCTTCAGAAATATTGGTTGACCGTGCAGGAGAAAATCTGTTCGCTTCAGCGACCTCCAAAGCCACGTGCTTTCCTATTTTGGAAGATTTATATAGACGAAAGTTTCTATTTCTTGTATAAACTCCTATATCAAAAATTAATAAAACAATATGAATGCATGTTTTAGAGATTTATTTTATTTTATTTTAATTATTATTTTTTTTTGGTGAGGAAGATTAGCCCTGAGTTAACATCTATTGCCAATCTTCCTCTTTTTTTCCTTGAGGAAGATTAGCCCTGAGCTAACATCTGTGCCAATCTTCCTCTATTTCGTATGTGTGTTGGGACCTCAGCATGGCTGACAAGTGGTATAGGTCTGCACCCGGGATTCAAACCCACAAACCCGGGCCACCAAAGCAGAGTGCACAAACCTAACCACTACACCACTGGGCCGGCCCCAGTGATTTATTTTTATAGTTGGCAAATACTAAATCAATTTGTATAGCAGTATTAGAAGAACCAATTTGTTCCGGTTCACAACGGCAATGCAGGAAGATCCTGAACTGGCCACCTTCCAGGGACACACTGAATCTGTAATTATATACAGAACAATTTCCTCTGAAAAAAACCCTGAAAACTGGTGGAGCAACCCATTCACATCAGGGAAACAAGAGGGAAACCACATCAAAGCAGGTAGAAAAGGCTGAGATAATCTTGCCATAAACCTCACCCTCAGCACAGCAACCCACAATCAGGAGGGAACTCAGAAGCTGGAGCTTCTTTCTGAGGAGCAAAGAGCTCACACTCCATCTCAGGCACCAACTTTTAAGAGTGGCATCTGAGAGACAAACCCCCAAAACACCTGGCTTTGAAGACCAACTGAGCTTGCCCACACTCACCCACCCCAGGGCCCTTTGAAAAGCACCCAGACTTTATGTGAAAGAGTCTCACTTGCTAAGTTAAAGCGTTAGTTTGAGGGGCCAGGGCTCCTGCTGGGATATGCTCCAGGGACAGAGGCGGGTAGGCACTGTCTTGCTGCTTTCCCTCGGCCTTGTTAAAGCCGGCAGGTGCCATTTTTGATTTTTCTTTTCTGGCAGTTGCCATCTTTATGCTCCAGTCAGCAGGCCCCATCTTCCACACTCTCCTTCTGCTTTGCTAAATGGGCGGGTGCTATCTTTTTAAATTCTTTTCCCTTTTTTCAGTGGCTGCGATCTCTCACTCCCCTCTGCCTCACTCCAGCCAGTGGGCACCATCTTCGTACCAGTGGGCACCATCTTCGTACTCTCCCTCTGCCACCCTCCAGAGCACCAGTATCTCCCGGAGGGCAGCTTCTACAGGTCTTGTGCCTCAGTTTTTACACATGGTAACCTGGTTTTTGTGGCTGCCACCCAGGGATACCCCTTGATCACCTGGCTCTGGAGGCCAGGGGGCTTGAGTTCCTGGGTCCAACAGGACTGTAATAATGAGAGACAGCTCTCGGCAGGCCACCCCCTACCCGGCCCCCCCACCACCACACACCCACACAGGGCATTGCACAGACAGCCTATCTGTGAAAGGGGCCCAACTGTTTGTCCTGGAGCTTTGGCCTTAGGGGCAGGCTTCAGGTTTTGCACACATCTAGATGGTATGGAGCTGATCTCATGGAATATAGGGCAAGGGGCACTCTCTTTGCACTGTCCCTATACCTCAGTACAGCTCACTGGTTTTTCCCAGAAAGGAGCATACATACCCCAGTTTTTGCAACTGCTGCCCAGGGGATACCTCCAGATTGCCTGGCTCTGGTGGCCAGCAAGTCTTACCCTTGCAGCTCCCAGATCGTTTACATTTGCCTTCTTTAAAAGCCACTGCCTGAGGGTTTGGTTCTAATTAGCCTGAGTCTAGGTGCTAACTGAGGTCTTCTCCTTTGGAACAATGACTGGTTTGGGCACACCCTTAACTACTGGGAGCTATTAAAAATAAAACAGGCTGCTTGGACCATCACAAAAGTTTGAGAGACAACAAACAGCTAGGGCAGGGTTGAACAATAAAGCTCATCTCCTACACAAGCCCAGCCCTTCCAGACTTGGAGAGGTGACTGTTTCATCTAAGGCATAGAAACAACACAGAGAGTCAAACAAAATGAAGAAACAAAGGAATACGTTCCAAACAAAGAACAAAATAAAACCTCAGAAAAAACCTCAGTGAAAAAGAGGTAAGTAATTTACCTGATAAAGAGCTCAAAATAATGGTTATAAAGATGTTCACTGAAACACAGTGAGAACTTCAATAAAGAGGTAGAAAATATACGACACTACCAAACAGAAGTCACAGAGCTGTAGAATACAATAACTAAACTGAAAAATACACCAGAGGGGTTCAGCAGCAGAACAGATGAAGCAGAAGAGAGGATCTGTGAATCTGAAGACAGAGTGGAGGAACTTACCCAAACAGAGAGCAAAAACAGAAAAGAACCCAAAAAAGTGAAGATACCTTAAGGGGCTTCTGGGACAGCATCAAGCAGACTAACATTTGCATTATAGGAGTTCCAGAAGAAGAAGAGAGAAAGGGGCAGAAAACTTATTTGAAAAAATAATGGCTGAAAACTTCCCTAACTTGGGGAAGGAAATAAACATACAGATCCAGGAAGCCCAGAGACTTCCCAACAAAATGAACCCAAAGAGACCCACATCAAGACACATTATAAATGTCAAAAGCTAAAGGCAAAGAGAGAATCTTAAAAGCAGCAAGAGAAAAACAACTGGTTACATACAAGGGAACCCCCTATAAGACAATCAGATTTTTCAGCAGAAACGTTGCAGGCTAGAAGGGAGTGACACAATATATTCAAAGTGCTGAAAGAAAAAACTTCCAACCAAGAATAGTCTACCAGCAAAGTTATCAATCATGACTGAAGGATGGATGAAGAGAATTTTCCAGAGAAGCAAAAGCTAAAGGAGTTCACCACCACTAAACTGACCCTACGAGAAATGTTAAAGGGACTTATTAAAGCTGGAAAAATAGAGTGCTAATGAGTAGCAAGAAAACATATGAAAGTATAAATTTCACTAGTAAAGGTAAATATATAGTAAAGATAGTGGATTGATAACTTATAAAGCTAATATGAAAGTTAAAAGATAAAAGTAGTAAAAATAACTACTTAGTTAAGGGATACACAAGATAAAAAGATATAAAATGTGACATCAAGAATATGAAATGTGGGGAGAAGGAGTAAAAATGTAGACCATTCAAACTTAAGTTGTTATCAACTTAAAATAGACTGTTATAAATATAAATTGTTATCTGTAAGCCTCACGGTAACCAAAAGCAAAAATCTACAATAGATAGACAAAAGACAATGAGAAAGGAATCTAAGCATAACACTAAAGAAAGTCATCAAAGAAGGAGAAAGGAACAGAGGAACTACGAAACAGCCAGAAAACAACTAACAAAACGGCAATAAGTACATACCTACGAATAATCACTTTAAATGTAAATGGACTAAATGCTCCAATCTAATGACACAGAATGGCTGAATGGATTTAAAACACAAGACCCATCTATATGCTGCCTACAAGAAACTCACTTCAGACATAAGGGCACACAGACTGAAAGTAAAGGGATAGAAAAGATATTCCATGCAAACGGAAACCTAAAGAAAGGTGGGGTCGCTATACTTACAGCAGAGAAAATAGACTTTAAAACAGAGACTGTAATAAGAGACAAAGAATGGCACTGCATAATGATAAAGGGGTCAATGCAACGAGAGGATATAACATTTGTACATGTTTATGTACCCAACATAGGAGCACCTAAGTATACAAAGCAAATATTAACAGACCCAAAGGAAGAAACAGACATCAACATAATAATAGTAGGAGAGTTTAATACCCTGCTTACATCAATAGATAAATCATCCAGACAGAAAATCAGTACGGATTTTTTTTCTAGAAAGTTAAAAATACATGAGAAAGGTGCTTCTCTTAGAGAAGGCACTTTTGCTATCATCCTGCCTCTATAGTTATTTAGAGAGAAGATCGAATTATCATTGATGAGAAGAAAAATAGTCCAAAGATCACTTACTAGTAGAAAATCATGGCTGTCAGAGAAACTTCAAATTTATTTTAAAATACATGTTCACACACACATACACACATGCATGCACACAATGGCACAAAACAAGTCTTAACAAATTTAAGAATACTGAAATCATATCAAACAACTTTTTCCAACCACACTAGTATGAAACTAGAAATCAATTACAAAAAGAAAACTGAAAAATTCACAAATAATGTGGAGACTAAACAACTTGCTACTGAACAACCAATGGGTCAATGAAGAAATCAAAAGAAATAAAAAATACCTTGATACAAATGAAAATGGAAAAACAACATACCAAAACTCATGAGATGCAGCAAAAGCAGTTCTAAGGGAGAAGATCATAGCAATAATTGCCTATCTCAAGAAATAAGAAAAAATCACAAGTAAACAACCTAACTTTACCTCTAGGAACTAGAAAAAGAAAAAACAAAGCCAAAAATTAGTAGAAGGAAGGAAATAACAACAGATCAGAGCAGAAATAAATGAAGCAGAGACTAAAAAGACAATAGAAGAGATCCACAAAACCAAGAGCTGGTTCTTTGAAAAGATAAACAAAATTGACAAACCTTTAGCTAGATTCACCAAGAAAAAGATAAGTAAACTCAGAAATGAAAGAGGAGACATCACAACGATACCACAGGAATACAAAGGATTATAAGACCACAAGGATCATAAGAGACAACTATGAACAATTATATGCCAACAAATTGGACAAACTAGAAGAAATGAGTAAATTCCTAGAAACATACAACCTTCCAAGACTGAATCATGATGATATAGAAAATTTGAACAAACCAATTAGTAGTAAGAAGATTCAATCAGTAATCAAAAACCTCCCAGCAAACAGAAGTGCAGGACCAGGCTGCTTCAAATATGAATTTTACCAAACATTCAAAGAAGCATTAATACCAATTCTTCTCAAACTCTTCCAAAAAATAGAAGAGAAAATACTTCCAAATTCATTTTACAAGGCTAGCATTACCCTGATACCAAAACCAGACAAGGACACCATGAGAAAAGAAAATTACAGGCCAATATCCCTGATGAACATAGATGCAAAAAATCTTC